TTGATCAATTTTAAGTTAAAAATTTTGTGATGAAAGTAAAGAGAATTATTCTGTTAAGATAGACTAAGCTTTAGTTACGAGAGAGTTAATTATTGATTGTGAGTAACGGTAAATGGATTTGAATTACGTACATAATGAAAATAACGTCCGTTATTATTGGTGTATATATACATATATATATATATATATATGTAACTACCGCGACATAAATTGTACAGATTTATGGAGCAAAATCGGATTGAGAAATTTCGAAATACAACTGAGCTTATCACTATTGTATGATTTCCTATTGGGCATAGATGTAGTTTAATTATTAGTAAGCTTGTGAGTGGATGTGTTACCAAGCAGTAAATATATATACAAAAGTGAATAGAAATCTGGAAGCACATGAATCCATCTATTGTCGATATGTTTTAATCATCTGTTTCAAATTTCGCAACCACTGGCCAGTACCGCATGTCTCTGAAGCTTCTGTGACTCGAAAATAAATGGATTGGATTTGAAAATTCAATTTGTACTGGATTTCCAAAAAAGAAATCTCACAGACGTGACACAACGGACCTTTCCTCTCTCTCTCTCTCTCTGTCTCTCTTTTTCGCTCCCCAATATTCGAATACAAATATATACACATCCTATATATATATATATATATATTTGCTTGTATTTACAAACCTGCAATTGAACTTCTATATTTCGTTGAATCACTTCTATCGAACAAGTGGTAATAAATTATTACGATGTTAAAATTTTAAAAAAAATCTAGTATTTTGTAATTAATAGCATATATAATGTAGAGATAAATCATTTGCAGATTTTCAATTAATCACTCAATTTGTGAAATTAAAGAAAAAATTGTTATTTTATAAAAATTACCCCCATAACAAAAGGATATCCCTAGGATATTCATAGGATATCCATATCAATGGTCGATATCCTAGAATGGTCCCCAGGATATCTTGGGATATACAAACCGCCAGTCTGTGGGACATCAACAGGACATCCATAGGATATTCACAGAATATCCCTAAGAAATCCACAAAATATCTATTCGATATTATATCGCAGGATATCCATGGGATATCCTCAGGATATCCGTGGGATATTCTTAGGATATTCACGGGATATTTAATATCCCAACATATATTTTTAAAGGTTAAAATTGTTAAGCTAATATAATGAATAATAATATAATAAAAACAAAAATCTTATGAGCTTCTAATTTATTTTAAATGAAGATTTGAAACTCATTTTTCAAAGTTTTTAAATAAACTCATGCACTTAATGTATAATTAATATTAATAGTTATTCGTTATTTGCGGGGAAGAATTTATATTGTTTAAAGCAAATTTATTTTCCGACAATATTAAGCATATGAATAAAAGGAATGAATCACGAATGACAAAAAAAAATTAGTTAATAATTTTTCAAATTAAACAACTTTCTCGAAAAACAAGTTGCATTTTATTTTATTTATATAAAATTTAATTCACTGAATATTCTCACTCGTAGTCTCATAATGACTTTAAAAACAGTATCCTGAGAATATCTTCTTGACATCCAGAAGATATACTGAGAATATCCTGAAAATATCTGTGGGATATCCTGACGATATCTATGGGATATCTGGAGGATATTTATGAAAGTCTATAGAGATATCCAGAAGATATCCTGTGGATATCCTCAGATATCCATGGAATATCCAAAGGATATTCAAACCGCCGATTTTTTTGGATATCCTTAAGAGATCCTTTTGATATCCATAGGACATCCCTAGGATATCTGCGGGATATTATCAATATATCCCAAGATATCTTGTGTTATTAGGGAACGAAGTCAACAAAACGTTTTCTCAAGTAAAATAATATAAAATTTTTTATTTAAAAAATTCCTTAGTTTATATATTAAAATTATTTTCAATTATAAATTCTGTTCTTCGGTTAGAATTTAATAGCAAAATAGTTTGTATGGTTTTAAGGAAATTAATAAATAAAACAAAGATATGATGTGAAAGTGATGTGAAAGTGATGAACTTTGATAATTTTTAGCTTAATTTTTTATGGATGATTTGAAAACTGAATGTCAGTAAAAAAAATTTAATTTGTAACTTTTTGTATTTTAAATTAAAAATTTTGATTTTACCAACACTGAACATTGTAATATTTTCATTTGTTCTCAATTTTTTTTTTTTTTTGCCTAAATAAATTACTTAGTTTTTGATATTGAAATTTTTATTTTCAAAAAAAAAAAAAACTATTTTTTTCTATCTAAAAACAAAATTCTAAAAAACAATTAAGTTTTCATATCGCTTGTGCAATAGTTGCAAACTCTGTGAATTACTCTCTAAAATCATGTTTTGATTAATCGCTGAACTGATAAAGTTATATAGAGAAAATATTTGTTTCTTTTTGATTGAAAAAAACAGTTTGAGCGTAAATGACAGATTGAATAAATAATTCTTTTATCAAAAGATTTTCTAAAAGTCTATTATTACCTATTGATAGGTATATAAAATAAAAAGTTTCTCTTATTGAGGCATTTGTGTGCATATATAAATTTTTTTTTTTTAATTTCAAAATAAAAGAATGCAAGAATAGAAGGTGAAAAGCGATGAGTATATTTTTTTTAAGTGGATAAAAAATAGTTGACTCGTGCGGTTGATTTGAATTAGTTGAAAAGAAGAGTAAAAAATGGAAGAATCAAAATATCAGAATATAGAATCAATTCCGTTTGATCGTTAAAAAAAAAATATAAAAAATAGTATTAAAGAGGTTTGAAAAAAGATCAAAAGCTTGCAGCTGAATATGTGAGGTATGATGATTCAGTTTTCTCTACACATTTTTTATTTTGATTTTAGACAAAGAGACGTTTTTTTTTTATGAAAAAGAAACAAATTCACCAAAAAGGTAAATCTAAATTTGATGTCAAATTCATAATCAACCACCATGAAAATCCGCGTGGGTAGAAAGTTTTAAAAGAATTTTTAATGAATTTAAAAAAGTCAATTATTTTAAATTCTAAAAATTTGATATCAAATTCGTAATTAGCAACCCTGGCAAAAGCACTAAATAGCGAGTGAATCAATTTTAAAAAATTTCTCCGCCATATTGGAGTCACCATTTTAAATTTTGGAATTTTGATGTCAGATTAGAAATTTGCAAACCGTGATTCACAATCATTTAATTTTTTTTTAATGTTAGAATTTAAAATTTATAATAGTTAACAAACAAACAAAAATTGCAAAAGGAATATGACTAATAAAATAAAAAGAATAAAACTGAATTGTAAAATAAAACACAGATGCAACATATAATTTTAAAGAAAAATATATTTTTGAACAAGATTAATGTAAATTGTTCGTGAATTATTTTATTTGATGTAAGAAGTCGTGAAATCCAGTTGAATACAGTCTTAGAAATTGTTCTTCATAACTGAAATTACCTGACACCAGTTGCTATGAGTTGATTCAGGTCAGACTTCAGCTCGAGTTACAATTTGCAGAGTTACTCGAAGAGTATATATATATATACCTACTCCTCTGCGAATTGTACAAGCGTAATATTGCTACAGACGTTTACACGGTCTAGTCTTTATAAGTTAAATGAGAGGACTTGCATTACTCCTAATACCAAAAAGGTGGTTAGATAGCAATTTCAAAATAGAAGAAATAAAATACAAAACAAAAACATTAGAAATGTGTGATAAATAAATTTAATTCCAAAATTTTACTAGAAATTACTCTTTGTTTTTAACAAAAATAATAATTACCTTCAGAAAGAATAATTGTAATATCTAAATAGAAACTAATTTTCTAAATGAAAATAAGTATAATATTATCATTGAACTTCAATTAAAATATTCGATGTTTCAAAATATTTAGGTATATCATAAATTTTTTCAAAACTTGAAATATTAATTGAAATTAAGAAATATTTATTTGAAATTATCCAGGTCATATTTTTATAATTTAACAAATTTTCTTTTGCTGATAAATAATATATATATATATATAATATATAATATATATGGATCATTCATTGTCGACTTTTTATTTTCATTTTTCTGTTTTACCATCAGTCGGTAATGTAGATGTCTATGTCGGTAATTTTTTATTTCATCATTTTTCCTGTTTTGCCATCAGTTGGTAATGTAGATTTCTATGTCGGTTATTTTTTTATATCATCAAAAAAATAAGTTTTAACCTTATATTAAAAGAAAATATTACTTTTTTCTATAATATTGAAGATTTTTTTTTAACATTTGTGGTTTTTAACGCAAAGTAAAACTTGCGCCATGCACCAATCCATTTGGCTGCGATTGTATAATTTGATTTTGACTTTCTTTATTTTAATTTCGGCTGAAAATTTCCATTGAAAAATGAAAGTTAAAATGAAAAAAGAAAGTTGAAGTCTAAATGAAATTACATAATTTAGACAACCACATGTGGTGTAACAATGATAAAAAATGATGAAAAACGTTAAATCTAAATAAAAATTTAATTTAATTCTTGTAGTAGTAGTAGTAGCAAACATAAACGAGGGGTTGAAAAGAGACAATTCTTCCGGTCCGGAAGGGGATAACTGCAATTCGAAGAGTGACGTAAATCTTGATGCAGGGGAGAGTTGTTGCTAATTGTGTATATATAGAAGACAACAAGTCACTCCGATCAGAAAATCATATATTAAATGACAAAAGCAATTTGAATTCCGGTATATATATATATATAAATTGTGAAATGAATTCAGTGATGTCATGAATTCTTTGCATGAGTGAACGCGACCCTAACAAAAAGCGGAAACTAAGATTAATTGTCTCCCCAAAAATTATTCCCATGAAGAAATATTCCCCGACTTTATGGCACCCGCAGTCGAATCATGATGAAGATATTGTAAATTTGCTATATATAGATATATCGAGGATTAATCCGATTGGTATCGATTCCTGATATACATTAGAAATTTCAATTGCAATGTCAAATTAATAATCTCTTGCATTAATTACAGTTCCACCTGATATTGTGGATTTTCAAACTAGCACTGACATGGTGGTTCGTGAAGGTAGTAACGTGACTTTAAAGTGTGCTGCCACTGGATCTCCAACACCAAATATTACCTGGAGAAGGGAAGACGGTCAGACAATTTTACTGGGAAATGGAAGAAAAGGTTTGTTTTATCAAACAAAAGAAATTAATCAAGCATTTTTACATTCAAACAATAATAATTAAGTTAGTTGAGATTTGTAATCTTCTTTTAACAAAAGAAAAATTAATTTCAGCAAATAATAATTAAATTAAATGACAATGATGGTGTCCAAACCAATTCACTGAAACGTTGCTCAAAGACAGTAAATTAGTTTCTATTTGTTTTTTTTAAATAAACGAAAAAAATTTAACATAATATAACGGAATGATAAAAGTATTTATCATCATTAAAATCATAAGATTTTTAAATATAAATAATTTTTTAATTTAATCGGATATTTTTACTTTTCTTAATTTAAAATTACAATATTAATAAGTGTTAAATAACATATTAATTTGGTATAAATTTGAATGAATTAGAAAAGTAATGTAATGATCCAAATAAATACAAAGGGCATCAATAAGAATTTATAAATGGAAATCGTCCCAATCATCATTTGAAGAAAATTAAATTATCCCACGATGACTCAGGAAGCAGGAATTTATATGAAAAGAAAATTTTATACGATAATTAAATTTATAAAAAAAATAATCATTAATAAAAATTTATAAATTGTAAAATTAAGAACAAATTAACAACCTCTTAAAAGGTTAAAAGAAAAAGTTAAAATGTGTACTCTGTACAACACATTTGTATCTGGATCGTTAGATACTTCGTTAGCTGAAATATATATATATATATATACTCCTATCTGATAAGTAAATTTAAGCTCGGATCAAGTAGATCGCGGCTCATGGGTGTTGTTTACCTCAAACATTATCATTAATTTTGAGTCTCTTTGAAGACGTAACAAATCGAAATAATCTTCGTAAAACAGTTTTTTTTTTAAATTCTCTTTGTTTTAGAAAATTTTTCCAATATTGTTAATAAATAAATATAAATATTAATTTAATAATATGCACATCTGTTAATTGCAGCACAATACGTAGAGGGTCCTCTTTTTGAAATCACAAAAGTAAATCGACTGCACATGGGGTCGTATTTGTGCATCGCATCTAACGGAGTACCACCCTCTGTGAGCAAAAGGATTACGCTGATTGTACATTGTACGTATAATCTCTCGAAGATCATTCTTCCCTTAAATAATTCAATACATTTCAACTGGGGTAAAAAATTTTTTTTTTTTTTTAATGCTCACAAATAATAGAAGATTAACTTTTACTTTTTTGATACTGTCAATTCACATATATACACATATCTATATAATAACACAAGTAAACACAGTGCTATATTTAAAAAATGTATACATAAAAGATTTCTATTTGTAAAAAAAAATTCTTTGTATCAAAATTGAAGTTTAAAATTGTTAACAATTAAGTTATTAAAATCTTCTTCTAATCTTTAAATATCGCACACTATCAAAGTGGTGATTCAGTATTGCAATCTTTATAAATCAAATATTAGTTATTCAATTCGACGCCTACCGTTCGTAATAATTATTGAAATAACAACGATTCTTATTGACATTTGCGTCCAATATCATTCCTATCCAAATAATAAAAATAATTATTATATTAAAAATTTAAAAAAAAAATATTAATATTTTGATAAATATTTTTTAAAAATTGAGTTTTTATACTTGTTTTGTTTTTATATTTATGCATTAAGAGTGTAGAACGATATCTGAGATTTTTTGGCAAGAATAGAACTTTAACTATTGCTCTAAACGTGAAATAATAATGATTTTAAAATACTTTTAAAAATACTTTTTCCTAAATCCAAAATACTGTACAAATCCATAGAAAAGCGCGATTGCAAAACAAAAAATAGAAAAGTAATCTTAATAACAGCTGAGACTTTGTGCTCCCTGGCATGCTTCTGCCATCTGACGGCGGCAAGAGGTAATGAACCTGTAATTATATTACTTTTCTACTTTTCGTTTTTACATTCTCATCATAAATGACAAAATATTCATTTAATCGCGTTTTAGTATGGATTCATACAATCTTTCGGATTTAGGAAATTTATAGGATCTTTGGCTGCTTTTGTAAAAAGTGTCCGTCTTTTGTGAAAAAAGTATTTAAAAATCAATGTTTATCATTTTCCCATTCAGTGGCGTTTTTACAGGGCGATAATAATTAAAGAGAATCATAAATATAAATAAAATATAAATAAAATATAAATAAAATAATCATAAAATATTACGAAATCGAGAATTTGTAAAAATTTTAGAAAAACAAAAGGAACGCAGAAACAAAAAAACGTACACTGAAAACACGGACAATAATCAATTTAAAAGTTATAAAACTTTTTAGATTAGCGCGGATTAGAAAGAAAATTTAGCTGAGTACATTTTTTCGTCAGCGAGGTACAAAAGTTAGTGAGTAATTAAAAAATTTGCGCAACTCGAGAATAACCAAAAAATATTACGAAATCGAGAATTTGTAAAAATTTGAGAAAAACAAAAGAAACACAGAAACGACTAACTTCAAGTGTGAACAGACAAAATGAATATGAATACGGAGATTATTATACGTAAAAATAAAAATATTTACCTTTTCCGCCAATAACATTTAAATTGGAATTTTGTTGGATAAAAATTTTTTTTTTTAAAGAAATTTTAAATTAGAATTATCTTCTTTTATATTATATTACTGGGAGATGTGAAATTATTTAGAATATTTTCTTAATTTTCATTGTTAATAAATTTTTGAATTACTGTTTACATTTTATATATATTCTATAAAAATTATTAATTAAAGAAAAATATTATACATATAGTTCCGCCAATGATCTGGATTCAAAATCAATTGGTTGGTGCAAGAGAAGGTCAACAAATAACTTTGGAGTGCCACTCAGAAGCTTACCCAAAGTCTATTAACTACTGGACAATGGAGAAGGATGAGATTGTTCCACAAAGTTAGTATTAAATTCTGTCAATTGAAATACTAAGTTTTTTTCGCATAAAGAAAATAGTTTTTTTTGTTTTTTACTTTCCAAGTGATTTGTACTTTACAATCAAAAAAAAAAAGAAAGATGACTTTTTTTCATATATAACTAGTTTATTCGGACAAGATTAAACCTTGAATAATGCATGTGAATGCACGTTGAGCTGACAGTAGGAAAGTAACATGATTTTATCTGACATTTATGAAAAAGGGCTTGTATTGAACAAAAGAGCCGAAACTCGAGTTATAGTTATATGCATATATATACAGCATAACACTAGACAGGAGCAGAGGACAAGGAAACTTTAGGGGTGTGTTCCTCTCCCTGTCATCGGGGCTTATTATGGCATGTAGCCTACATTTGCATCTGTATTAAGACCAATAACATGCAGTACAATTGAAGCTACAGGGTTCAACTATCCTACCACGTGCTTATGTATCAATATGACTAAATTTGTGCCCTCTCGCTACCCTACTATACTATAACCGTTATTCTCTTCGACATTGTATGCCCAATAATATCTTTTATTGCAAACTATTATATATTCCAAGTGGACTTTCAAAATAATGCTTACAATTTATATTGTTAATTTATGCAAATAGTCAAAATAAGCCATATAGAATTCTGTAAATATATTTTCTATATAAGTGTCAATTTTAAGACACTTCTAAAATTTTTAAAGCCCCCCCCCCCTTATTTTAAGAAAATTTATTGTCATTAATTTAAAATGGGGGAAAAAAATTAGCCAACAGGTTATAATTTACATATACAGTAAGATTATTTGACTATGAATCACCCCCAATATAGTGTTAAAGTTTATGAAGACTTTAGTATATTTTAATTTAGAAATATGCAACCCAGTTTACAGAGAAGTTTGAAAAAAACATTGAACACGAGTCATTTTTAAATTTGCCGCTTGAAATTGGATGCGCGCGATGATTTAAGTCATCACGTGATAGCAGAAAAGGCAAGTTGGAAACCATTTTGGTTATACGAAATCAAAACATAACCCCAAATAATCATCGTATTTGACATTATTAATAAAAAACAAATAGAAATAAAAAATAAATAGTCATTAAAAGATTATAATAATGATAAAAAAGTTAAAATAAAAATTTAGTGAAAAAGTGTTTGGCAATTTTATCTACATAGTGTGATGTGGAAGAGAAATATTATGTGTCTGAAACAATGTTTGTCGGAATTATTTATTGAAAAAAATTTTTTGATTGAAAAATGGATAAACTCTAAAGAATTTGATTAAAAATTAGTATAAAGTGAACAGTGTCACAAGGTATTCTACAAGAAATTTTGACCTAATTCACAATAAATTATTTATTTATTCGAAAACAACGAAAAAAATACGGTTAGAAACTACACAACTGAAATTATGAATTAATCATTTACTTGCTGATTTGAAAGAATACAATCGGACTCTATTTTATGATAAATAAATAAATAATTCCGACAAACATTGTTTCAGACACATAATATTTCTCTTCCACATCACACTGTGTAGATAAAATTGCCAAACACTTTTTCACTAAATTTTTATTTTTAATTTTTTTATCATTATTATAATCTTTTAATGACTATTTATTTTTTATTTCTATTTGTTTTTTATTAATAATGTCAAATACGATGATTATTTGGGGTTATGTTTTGATTTCGTATAACCAAAATGGTTTCCAACTTGCCTTTTCTGCTATCACGTGATGACTTAAATCATCGCGCGCATCCAATTTCAAGCGGCAAATTTAAGAATGACTCCTGTTCAATGTTTTTTTCAAACTTCTCTGTAAACCGGGTTGCATATTTCTAAAGTAAAATATACTAAAGTCTTCATAAATTTTAACACTATATTGGGGGTGATTCATAGTCAAATAATCTTACTGTATATGTAAATTATAACCTGTTGGCTAATTTTTTTCCCCCACTTTAAATTAATGACAATAAATTTTCTTAAAATAAGGGGGGGGGCTTTAAAAATTTTAGAAGTGTCTTAAAATTGACACTTATATAGAAAATATATTTACAGAATTCTATATGGCTTATTTTGACTATTTGCATAAATTAACAATATAAATTGTAAGCATTATTTTGAAAGTCCACTTGGAATATATAATAGTTTGCAATAAAAGATATTATTGGGCATACAATGTCGAAGAGAATAACGGTTATAGTATAGTAGGGTAGCGAGATAATTATTTTATTAAATATTTAATAATATTGTTAACAAAATGCAAAAAGGCATGTAATTATAGAGAAAGTTTCAAACAGAAAAATAATAATCTATTATGGTCAGCCGGGGTAAATCCGAACGCTTTTAGTATAAGTTTCAACAATAACATAAGTTTTTTCTTTTAAAAGACAATACTTCCGATATTCTGGTGAAATCAGATGATTTCAACTAAATGTAGGTTATGTTCGTTTCTGATTCATGCCAGCTGCAAATATTTACAACAAATAAATACTTTGCAAGTGTATATTTATTGCATTTAAGTAAGTTATGCAAAATATATATGTGGAACAATAATTTAAGGTGATATAACCTCATTATATTTACTGACCGTTTTTTTTTGCCTACGGCATTAGTTTATGTAGATATTTTTTTGAAATGGACAAAAAAAAGTTAATATGCAAAAAAACGTACTGAGTGGAATAAACACATATAAATCCTTATACTATTTATTGTGAAACATATCAGCTAGCCAAATATGTCATTGACGAGGTATGTCTAGTTAACGGTGAAAAGAAATTTTTTTTTTTTTTTTATCATTTACCACTGAATTGGAAACTAATAGACTGATTGTGTGGCATTTATAATTCACTAAACTTAATATTAAAAAATAATAATAATAATAATGAAACCACCAGAACGGGAATCAAAATTAGAGTTGCCAATGACCCTACCTAAATAGGTACCCGTGCAAAAATTTCCCTACTTAGTTCTATTTTAAGTAAGGCTCTCTCATGGCCCTTGCCAGTTTTTCCACAAGTCTGGCGTTAACAAAATTAAACGAAAGTTACTTGGTTATGCCATGTTTGCAATATATATATTATATATTATGACATAACCTCAAAATAAACAGTAATTTTTAACACCAAATAAAACCATAATAAAATTAAATTTCCATGCAAAATATTATAAATCAAAAAATAGTTATTTATGATACAAGTGCGTAAAGTGAGTGATTATACGAGTGTGACGTTTGCGTTTTGACGTTCTTTCTTTAATTTTGTGGTTTTGTATGGTCTAAAACAATCCTTATATTAGGTGAGAAAAATTTCGGTGCGTAAAGTAAATTTCAGTGCGTAAAGTGAATAACCCGTGTGGAAATCTTCCCAAAGTCGTCCAAAGTGAAACTGGGCGCCAATCTGGGCCCAACTTGGCTTCGCAAAGTTTGAAAAATGAAGAAATAAAAGAATTAAGTTAATTAAATTATTATTTAAATAATATGCTGAAGAAATATACAAAAAAGCGCAACTGAAAAAAATTTTTGTTTTTCATTGTACTTGGGCAAAGTTTGGGTCAACCCAACCTGGCCCCAACTCTCGAGGCACTTCTCGGGTGGAGGAGACACCTAGTGAATATTACTTTGCACTAGCTTCGCGTCGGGCATGAATATTGGAACCGAATCCAATATCTAGCTTCTTCCCGATTACGAATAATAATCGACCTAGCGAACACGACCCTAGTATCCGTCCGTACCGTCGTCTAGGGGGTAAATTCTAAAAAGTACCCCACGCAAAAGTAATATACGTCGTCCTAATCAACATCTTCGCTAACGTGGTAAATATGTTTAAATCCGCTTTATTCTGGATTAATGACGAGCGCGATCGGAGCTCAGAGAATGCTCCTCTAGAATAGCTAGTTCTTTCTTCGTTACGTTTTCTAGAGATTAGTATTTTATTTGCATTTTATAGATTCTTTCGTTCTTATATTATTTTATGTAATAATTCATTTTTGTATAGTTTATTATTCTTTTATTTAAACAATATATTCTCTTTCGAAGGTTTAAATAATGACTCGTCAATGACTACGCCTCTCCTCTACATCATAGTAAAGGCGCTCTCACACCTTTTTGGCTGCTTGCAGGTTACCATGGCAACGCATGAGAGTGAGTGCGACAGAAAATTTAAAAATTTGAATATTCAAATTTTCTGTCTCACTCACACTCGTGCGTTGCCATGGTAACCTGCAGGCAGGCAGGTAGCCAAAAAAGGTGTGAGTGCGCCATAAGAAATAGTTCCGAAATTAATCGAAACATAGATGGCGCTTCACGCCATCTACCGAGATTTAAAGTAACTAGTCAAAATAGGTACCCGAACTCCATCTGGCGAGCAAATCCTTTGGCAATAAAAGTCAGATCATTACATGTGTAAAAAGTAGTAATTAAATTTTGGGTTAAATATAATAAATTTAATAAAAAAAATCTTTAATATAATCAGACAATAAATAAATTTATTAAAAATAAATATAATAACTATAACACTGTATATAAAATTTAATAATTTTGTTTTTATTAAAGTTTTTTTTTTACTTTTTTTTAGTATACTGTTTATTTTTTCCTCGTTTTTCGGGAGAAAATATTTTAATTTAAATTATTCCCTTGATTTTCCTGCGTGGTTCACTCTCGCATCTTATTCAATAAATTTTATTATTCCTTAAGTCAGATATTTTCCCCATTGGAATTATTTCCTTTGGCAATCATGACCTAAAAATTAGAATTCATTAATAAAGTTTGTTGATTGATCAATAATAATTTAATTAAAGGAAAGAAAAATTTTTTCCTTTTATATTATTAAAGATTGATTGACAAAAGTGTATTAATAATAAAGGCAACATCTCTTTTTTCTGTAACTTGACAAATATATCATTTTTCCATTACAATGAATAATTTAAGACAATTATTATTTCTATGCAATATATCATTGCTGCATAAAAAAAAAAAAATTTTTTAATAATTATATCAAATTGTTCATACCTACTGGAAAATATTTTAAAATTTTATTGACTTTTTAAAAATACTTACAAAACGCGAAAAATGTGAAAAAGGACCACATTAAATAGTAAAATGTAAATTTTTAAAAAACATTTAAATGATTTTTTTTATATTTAATAACTTTTTAAAATTTTTTATATCTGATCTACAAAAGTGTTTTTTATAAAAACTAAAAAAAGAGCTGCGCATTTTTTTTACGAATAACGATTGTAAAATTAAAAATAATTTTATATATTTTTAAAAAAATAATTATTTTATATCTAAAAAAAAATCAAAAAGAAAAAGTATGTAATTTATTTTTTTTAGCAATTGTCAGAAAGAATACCTTTTAGTAAAAGAAAAAAAGAAATAAATAAAATAAGTTCACCTTGTATAGTGTGAGATATAAACAGAAATCACGTTAGGCGTTACTATCGGAATATTGAAGTAAACCTGCAGGCACGAACAGACACGCGACTACCATTGATAACTTGATTGAAGCATTGTGACGACACGTTGCTTTCCAACGATCTTCTTTTTGTAACCTAAAAGGTGTTATTTATCTATCTCTATATATATACGTCAATATAGAGAGACTGTCTGGGGAAGGAAGCCAATATCAAATCTCATTTTATCATTTTTTTTTCTTTTGTATTATTATTGGTTGTCTTTCTTGTCATACAAAGCATATTTTCATATTATTTTTAAAGTACTATATAAAATATCAATATTGAAATACTTGAGAATCTTTGTTTGAAGTATATCAATTTTACACATCAATCACTTCTAACATGTGTTCAATATGAGGATTTCAATTAAAGTCTATATAAATTTTAAGAATGTGACAGTGTAGGTTAATAATTTTTTGTCTAATTGCAGAATTAAAATAATCCACCTAGTTTTTTTGTTAATTCGAGAATTTACTACAAAATTATTTAAAATTTTTAAAATCTTACGTAGAAATTCGTAATCAGTAAAACTCGAAAACAATTAACAGATATCAAATTTAAAAAAAAATAATTTTTTTTAATCGTCCGCCATATTTGATCCGACATTTTGAAATTTAAAAATTTGATATCTAATTCGTAATCAACGACTCCAAGACCATCTATAAATAACGAATTTTAAAAAGATTTTACATTCCTTTTATAATCCTTTACCATATTCAATCTGCTATTTTGAAATTTGAAAATTTGATTTCTAATTCGTAACCGGCGACCCCTAAAACATCTATAACTATCAAATTTGATAAAAATTTAACCTTTTTGAAAAATTTTTAGCCACATTGGATCCGCCATTTTCAATTTTCCAAATCTGACATCTAATTCGTAACCAGCCCCCCTAAAAATATCTATAGATACTAAATTTGAAAAAAATATAACATTTATTTTCAAATCGTACAACATATTCGATCCGCCATTTTGAAATTTGAAAATCTGACGTCTAATTCGCAACCAGCGACCCCTAAAACATCTATAGACACCAAATTTTATAAAAATTTAACATTTTTTAAAAATTGCTTTACATATTCGATCCGACATTTTGAATTTTGCAAATTTGACACCTAATTCGTAATCCACGACTACATAAAACGTATATAAATAACGAATTTAAAAAAGATGTTATATTTCTTTTTAAATCTTCCGCCATATTCGATTTAACATTTTTAAATTTAAAAAATTTGACTTCTAATTCGTAATTATAAAACTCAGAAACATCTAATTGGTAATTAACGACCCGAAACATGAATAAATAACGTATTCTATAAAGATGTTTCATTTCTTTTAAAATCCTTCGCCATATTCGTCCGCCATTTTGAAATTTGAAAATTTGACGTCTTATTCATAACCAGTGACCTCAGAAACATCTTTAAATAACGAATTTGATAAAAATTCAACATTTTTTAAAAATCGTCTGCCATATTGAATCCGCCATTTTGAATTTTGCAAATTTGAAATCTAATTCGTAGTCCACGACGACCTAAAACGTATATAAATAACGAATTTAAAAAAGATGTTACATTTCTTTTAAAATCTTCCTTCATATTCGATTTGACATTTTTAAATTTAAAAAATTTGACTTCTAATTCGTAATTATAAAACTCAGAAACATCTAATTTGTAACCAGTGACCCCAGAAACATCTTTAAATAACGAATTTGATAAAAATTTAACATTTTTTAAAAATCGTCTGCTATATTGAATCCGCCATTTTGAATTTTGCAAACTTCACATCTAATTCGTAATCCACGACCACATAAAAAACGTCTACAAGTAACGAATTCTAAAAAGATGTTAAATTTTTTTTAAATTGTCCGCCATATTCGTCCGCCATTTTGAATTTTACAAAATTTGACTTTTAATTCGTAATGAGCGACCCCAAAAACATCTATAGATAACAAATTTAAGAAAAATTTAACATTTTTTTCTTAATCGTCCGCCATATTGGACCCGGCATTTTGAATTTTAGAAACTCGACTTCTAATTTAAAATATTTTCTTTTGTTTTTTCTTTCTGTAAATTTTTCAAAAATATCCTTCTCTGTTTATATTACCCACTGATTTGCAATAATTTTTGTTAATTTTTCGCTGAAAAATTTAAATAAAACTATAAATGAATATAAAAATGAATTTTATATAAAAATAAAAACAGATCGTTAAAAGAGAAGAAAATAATTTAAAAATATTATTACTAAATTCTTATTATATATGGAAATGATTTTTAATATTTTATTCTTTGTAGGTGGGAAATATGAACTTTCACTAGAAGAAAGTGAATATAAAGTTCAAATGAAATTAACGATACGCACAATAACTGCCTCTGATTATGGAACGTATAAATGCATTTCAAGAAATTCATTGGGTGATACTGACGGTAGCATCAAACTCTATCGTAAGTAATAAAACTTTACTTTATGCACAGAAAAAGAGAGGGGGAGAGAAAAAAAATTTTTTTTTTTCTTTTTTTGATCTCAACGATTTGTCTATGACATTTTCACCTATTACACTTTACACAACAATAGAGAAAACTTTATAATTTACCTTATTCTTCCATTTGAAACTCAATAAATCTAATTTGAAAAATGCTCTATATTTCTCTGAATGGTGTTTGGAGTAAATGGAAAAAATTGTTATTTTTTTTTCTACATCAAGTCTATAAAAAATAGGACAATTTAGTAAATACTATATTTATGGTAATGACTATATAAATATTCTAAATTTGTATAAATTATAAAAGTATCTATTATAATTATAAAAATATAATATTTATCTGTAATTATATTTTTCATTTTTTTTTTAAATATTTATCCCTGTCAATATAAGATTTGTGAAAAAAAAAAATTCGCAATACAATTTTAAAAAAAATCAAATATCTCTAAACTAAAAATTGGTTTTAATTACAATTTGCCTATTTCAAATTTATACACATACTTCTATAGTGTTACTTGTTTTAGGGATTCCATCCAGTTCTGGCATCCACACGGAAAATGATACTAAACACAAAGGTATAGTATTGGTTAAACGATCATAGAATTTTAATGAAATAATTTTTTGCTAATACCAAAATAGAGAAATGTAGAGCATATATAATTTGTTACAAGCATTATACTCTAAAAGCTTATAGCCAAACATAGATTTAAAAAAAAAAATTATTTATTAAGATTAATTTTATATACATGAAATGACAGCACTTGGAATTTTACAAAATACCACTGTGAAAAAGGTTATGAATAATAATAAAAAAATAATGCTGTACCATTATTATTATTATTATTATTATTATTAAACATAACATTACACAACAATTTTATTCTATATATATACACGTATCAGTTCACTAAAGAACAGCTTTTTCAGATTGTAATTATGATGTAGTGAGCGAGATAATAATTTAACAGAGTCCTTTATAATCCACTGATGAGCTCTCATAGAAGCACATATCAAAGATTCAGCGAGCTGTTGAGTGAAATAATCGTCTAAAGAGAGAAAGGGATGAGAGAATGAGAGAAAAAAAAAAGATTCTCTAGAGCTTGAATGAAGTATCTATAGTTGAGCTTTTACTTACAGCGTGAAATCCTACGGAAATCGTATATTTTGAAATTTAAAAAATATATATTTTGTAATTTTTATTCACTTTGTAATTAAAAAATTAAATGTTAAAAAAAATAATATAATAAGAAATAGTTAAAATACCAATTTTCAGTCTTAATTCAAAAGCGAAAGAAATAACCACATGGGCGTGGTTTTGCACAACAAAGAGTGGGGGAAATGAGTTCGAGAGAGATAGCGCCTGTCACTTACTCGCCTCTCTCTCTCATTCTCATCTTCTCTCTCCACCATACTAACAAATATTTCTCTATCACTACTTTTTCAATCTAAAGTAAAAAAAAAAATATATATTTTTTCTTAAAAATTTTTTATAACAAAATTAATAAATTAGAGAAAAAATTTTTAATAATAAATCAAATATTTTTTATCATATAATATTCAAATATGATGACAGCAGTGAGACAAAAAGAGAAATATTGACAATAAAAGTTAAATTTTATTTTTACTTACTTGGTAAAAAAGAAAATTATAAAAGAATATTAAAAATTAAGTGATGAAATTATACCAGTCGATATAGAAAGATATGTGCATTTTTAAACATATAATATGCCAATAATTCCATTTTCCAACAATTATACTTAAATGTCTATATTACTATTATAGAATATCAGTAATTGGAAATAATTAATTCATATACGTTAAGAGATTCACGTGACATTTTGACATCTCTTCCATATTAACGAATGGATTGTTTTTAAAGATTTACATTGTTTGTACATTAAAGGAAATTTTTGATTTTTCACATAAAATTAAATTTTTCATATTTTGTGATGTTTTAAATTTTTTTAAAAAAAATTTTATATAAATTTTTTTGCATTATTGAAGGAGTAAAAATTAAAAGTATAAAATCTGTTTTTTATAAAAAAAAAAATTTTTTTTCCTTAAAAAAATTGGAAAACTTCAGATGAACATAATCTAAATTTTTATACAGACAATGAATAATTTTTTTTCTACTCTTCCTAAAGCAAAACCTTTACTCTGCATTCATGGGTTTTTAACACACTAGTTCTCTTCGCTGACGCGCGCACACAGCTGCCCGATATATGTAATCTGCTTTTCCAAACCTCTTTGAATAGCGTGCGGTATTATTACGACAAAGCAGACTTAGAAGAACTAATGCGTATTCAAAATAACGTCCAAGTTGATGTGCCTTTTAGGTTGTAATAATAATTAATTTTCATATGTGTACTTCAAAGAATAAAATATTTTTAAAAATAAAAATTATTTTAATGTTTAAATAATTGATCGCATATTAAATGTAACAGCATTTGTTAAATAAAACTGTTACATTAAAAATATATTCCCTATTATTCAAAAAGAGCGCTACATTAAAAAAAAAGAGTAGGGATAACGAGATGGTGATTGGTTTGAACAACGCTGCGCGCGCAATAATTAAAAAGTGGGGAGAAACGCGCATCAATCACGATGGCCTCCCCTCCCTTTTTCCCTACGGCGCGCGCAGTCTACTAAAAGTAGAGAGTAACAATCACAAAAAATTATTCCACATTTTCTATTGAGAATAGAATTAATAATAACTAATATAGTACTTATTAGAATAAATGGAAATATTTTATTTATTTTAAAAGAATTTAAATAATTTATCTTTTTTTCTTCTTTTTAATCCAAAAGTGATTATAATTTCGGAAGATATCGATGTAATGAGATTGCGATAAGGTATATAGACAAAAAAAAACATAATGAAATATTTGCCAGTATTATTTTTTTAAACGGTATATCTTTCACAGCTTTAATGGCTCTCATCTTGCTTACAGGCGAACTTAAAGTACAACGTTACTTGTATTTTTTTTATGGGTTATCAATATCTATATACTAACTTTTGCATGCTTACTATATTTTATATGCGAAAAAGGGGGGAAATAAATATTTCGTTGTCAGTAATAAGAGCGCAATAAATATAAATCTAATAAAAAGTAAACATTAAACTTTGCTGAAAAGCTTGGATATATATATATTTTTTTTTCTGCCTTTATTATATAATAGTAGAGTAACTGCAATTTTTTATCATCCTAATAAAAAAAAGTACATTCTTTAGTGACTGTGTGCATGCATATGAAGTTTTCAGTTTACTTTGATTTTGCCGCAAAAAAAAAAAAAAATGGGCGTATGTTGTTTTATAATATCACTGGTCGAGTCATTAAAAAAGTTTTTTTTATGAAATAGAAAAAAAATATTATTCCTGGAAAATGAAAAATCAAAGTCGAAAAGTAAAAATGAAATGAATATTTGTTAATTGGAAATAGTAATGAATTCAGAATTTTAAAAAGCATAAAATGGTAAATAGAATTATTATGATTATTTATTCACATATATATGTGATTATATAAGTATATAATTATATTAATATGCTAATAATATTAGTATATTATTTATTTTAATATTTTTAATTAAATTGAGTAGATTTTAAACGGTTACAGTTTTTAGTTTTCTTCGTTTCGATGTATTCTAAGAAGCGCAACCCCCACTCTTTCCTGTTCTCCCACTCCTCGTGAGCCTGGTACTTAAGTCAGCGCTCACTTGACAATTGCTCAGTCTGCCTACTGTTTCAGGGCAGGCACTTAGTTCCTAAGAACTCAGTGAATTATTTCTATTTCTTTTTTTATTTCTTTTCAAACAAATTATTTCGTTTCTTGATAATTATAAATAATTTTTTTATTAATTTTTAAATGTTTTTATCAAATCTTATAAATTACAATTTTTGACCAAGGAAATTTTATTTTTATCTCCATCTCTAAAAGTTGAAAAAAATTTTTTTCCTTGACAAAATATTATTACTAATAGTAATTATTTACCGATAGAAAAAATATCAATCTTATTAAAAAAAATCAAAGTTGAGACATTTATTTATTTTTTTTTTTTTAATGAAAACTGTGTCTCCATTTTATTTTCCCTTAATAATGTGATTATACATTTTATCCTATTTGAAAGCTTTTATTTTTTTTTATATTTATTTGCAATATTTATATTTTTATTTCCATCAGCAAATTAATTTCTTCGACAGTTATTATTATTATAACATTATCGTAATTGGAACTATGTTTCTAATTTGTTTTTAATGTCTCGATCAGTGACATGGAAAAATTTTTATCTATATTTAAATAATAAATTTTTTTTACTAGCTTTTCATTAATAGTTGATGAAAAATATAAAATGGACGCAAATTTATTTATATCAGAAAATATTTTTTTATTCAAAAAACATTTAGATATAATTTTGCTTTTTATAATTTAAATTTTTCTTTCATTTTGCAGGAAAGTCTAGAAAAAATTCTGGAAACGAAATACTCGAGGGAAATCAGGACATGTTGAAAGAACGAGGTGAACTGATTTTTATTTGTATATATATATATATATATATATATTTTTTTTTAACTTTTCATTAATGTTTCATAATTGTTTTGTAAAAAGAAAAAAAAATTAATTTATTACATTCATTTCTTGAAAATTGTTTCTTTAATTTACATAATTAGTATAACAAAAAAAAATATTAGATTGTTTTCAAAAATTATTAATCATTAATATGAGAGGAATTTAGATTACATTTTTCACTAAAAGTTTTTAAATATTTTTATAATATTTGTAATTGTTTATGAAATTCTTCAACTATTGATGTGAAATGTTTACGATGGCTTCCCTCACTCTTCTTCCGCAGCGCGCGCAGCATAAAAATGATTGGTCTTTACACTCTCCCCACCACTTTTGACATGTTGCGCGCGCAACAATTGCAAGGCAGTGATTTGTGAGCATAGATTTGCCAGCACAAGAAACTTGTTTCATAAAATTAAAAATAAATATTCTTCAAATACCATTTTCAAAAAAAAAAAAAAAAAAAAAAAAAATGATGAGTGGAATAATTTTCCTTTTACATTTAATAATTCAATTATCTCTTTTGCAGATCCAGATTATGACTCTTCTGAATCGTCGAGTACGAAATGCAACTTTGCATTAATTACTCCAGTACTTTTGATGGTAGTCTACAGTCATCATCATCCGCAACTGCAAGCACTTCATCCTGCCTGAAAGTTGAAATAAATGTCTCATTTGAATATTAAAGGAAGCAAAATACTGAGTTTCTATCCTTTAATGTGTAATATACTGTGGAGAAGAGATGTCGATAAAGTCGAGCTAAAAGCACGATAAATTAATAATTGAAAATATTCCACTTTAATTTATTGCCATATAGCTTTTGACTGAATCAAGTTTGATATATATATATGCGATTTCTATTTTAAAAAAAAGATTCAGTTAATATAAAATTATTTTCCTTTTTTTTTTGCTTTATTTTCGTGAATGATTTTTAGAATTTCGAATAAGAGCGTATTAAGTGTGACAGAAATTAGATTATTTGTATTAAAAAGAATTCCAGTGTCATAGATATATAAAAATATATTGTAAATATAGCTAAATATTGTGAAATGTCAAAACCCAAACTGCCATCGTCCAACTAGTCATTTATATTATATATATATATTATAAATAAATTAAGATAGATTTTTTGAAATATTGAGAGGCGTTTTTTGAATATAAGTAAATAGGAATTTCTTACGCTTTTCCTATAAGACGTGATAAATATATTAATTTTTATTTATTATAAAAATAATAAATAAGAATAATTATGAAATAATAAAGAAATAATATAAAATAATGAAATTATTAATGAAAAATAGCAAAAAATAATGTTCAAAACGAATATTAAAAAAGACAAATAATAACAAAAATTATAAAAAAATTTACTATTTTTGTTAATTGGTAAAAAATTTTCTGGTCTTACTTTTTAAAATTAAAAAAAAAATGTTAAAATATTTTTAATGTTAAGAGCCGAAAAGAAAAGAAAGATAAAAAAAAAGTTAAACCTTTTTTTTTGTTTTTTAGTTGCAAATATTTTTAAAAAAAGCGCACACATTTTTTTATAGGAGAAAATTTCAATGTTAGGCTGAAATTTAATTTGTCAAAAATTTAGATATTTCTATCGTCGCAAATGTTGCAATGTATTTTTCATATATTTTGTAAAGAATTTAATTTAATTTTGATTTCTATATCCCGCGATGAAAAAAAAATTTTTGATTTTCAAAAAGACAAATTTTCTATTCACTCTGTAAGCAAGAATAAAAATTTAATAATTTTTTTCTGTTTTTTCTAAATGGAAAAATAAAAGTATTAAAAAAAAAAAATTGAATGAGAGTAATGGAAAAAAAGAACAACAATTGTAAAATGAATGTCAAAAAAAAAATATATATATATAGAAAAACGTTTGTCAGAGATGAAAGGCTAATTTTTTTTTTTTTTTTTTTTTTGTTCGAAAACTGATTTTCTATATAAATGTTGAAATCAAAAAAAAAATCACTGAAGGACATAAAGGACAATGTAAGTCAGTCACTCGAATAGCATGTCAAACGAGGAAAGTGTCAAAAGTGAGGTTAGATTAAGGGGATTCTTGACGGGACGATGCCTTTAGAAAAAAAAGAAGCAATGCATATAAGCTCGCATCCCCCCTCCAAAAAAATATATATATTCACATTTCTTCTCTCTATTCACAATGTTGCCCCTGTAAACACAATGGAATTGTACGCACACGTCCCATATAACATAGTGAAAAGTTGGGAGCAATCTCGATGCATTGGGATCAAATTTTATTTCTCCCCCAAATAAACAACCGCGAAGAATTACATTTCACACACACACACACATATATATATATATATATATATATATATATATATATATATATATATATATATATATATATATATATATATATATGTGTATTTTTTTTTCTTTTGCAACTCGGACCCCTCTTAAATTCGTTTTGTCAATTTTCTTTTCGTATCTCTTCAAGCGTAACTAAGTCTCATTGTCGTCGAAGACATCCGTGAGACACTTGATAAAAAACTCATTTTCAACTCATTCCTCGTTTGTTATTGTATAACTATAAATATAAACAGTTCAGACATTTTTTTCAAAAGAAGAAATTGCTACAGAATGAATGGAGAAATTAATATATTTCTTATATATATATTCAGTGAAAAACATTGATAAGAAATTCTCATTTGTAGCGTATTACTTTAAAATATTATCGAAAAATTCAAGAGAGAATATTCTGTATTGAAAAAAGAATACCAAAAATTATACATTAAAGTTTTTAAAAACGTTACAGACTATGAAAACCTAGATTAAAATTAATTTAAAAATTTTAATACTAAGCTGAAATATAATTATATAGTTTTCACAATGTGAGACGTAGATTGTTACGATGCGCCAGAAGGAGGTTTAAATAAAAATAAGTTGGCACTTAAAAATTTTTTTTTTTTTTTGATTATGGACACTTTTTACAAAATCAGCCAAAATCCTTATCTTATAAATTTCCTAAATTCAAAAAACTGTACAAATCCATGGAAAAACGCGATTGCAAAACGAAAAATAGAAAAGTAATCTAATAACAGCTGGGACTTTCTGTTCCCTGCATGCTTCTGCCATCTGACGGCGGCAGGAGGTAATGAACCTCTCATTATATTATTTTCCTACTTTTCGTTTTTCAATCGCGTTTTTGTATGGATTCGCACAATCTTTTGGATTTAGAAAATTTATAAGATAATGATATTTGACTGCTTTTGTAAAAAGTGTCCGTGTTTCGAGAAAAAAGTATTTAAAAATCAATGTTTATCATTTTCCCATTCAGTGGCGTTTTTACAGGGCGATAATAATTAAAGGTCTTTTCTTGTCAAAGAATTTTAGAGACCATTCGACACTCTTAAATAAATTTTCTTCCTTTTAAAATCATTTTATTAACATTAAAATTTAATCTTTTCAAATCTGACACAAATACTACATCAATATAATTATTTATATATAAAACTGAAAATAAGTAATTATTTTATCATTTATTACAGTATTTATAGATTAAATAAATTCTGATTCCCACATGAAACACTGTTTTTATATAAAAACGCAATTTTTTTTAAATCAGGCACGTAAACTGATTTTAAAATCTATTGAGAAATGTTTTTTATTCATCTAAGAACCATACAATCAAAAAGAATTTTTAAGTGCCAAATCATTTTTAATTAAACCTCCTTTTTGCGCACCGTAGCTATATAAGGGTAACAAATTTTAAAAATTTTAACCCTATATAGGGTAATAATTTACCAAAATTTCAACCCAATCCAATAATTTTTAATTTTTTACTACCACATTTGAGGAAGATTACCCTATATCTAAATTGAATGATATTCTATTATTTTAGTATTATTTTATTTTATTATTTTTATCATTGGCAAGCAAAAATGTGTAGCAGTAATTAAATTAAAATTAAATTTAAAAAAATTCTTCAAGGAACAAATTTCTCAAAAATATCGATTTTTTTTCTTTTTATTTTAATCAAAATTAACAAATCTTCAGTACTAGTTAAAAAGGTTACAATTTTTTAAAAATACAATATTTTTATTAAATTCACATATGGATTTGATAAATACAAATATATATCATATATAATAAAAATTTTAATAAAAATTTTATAAAAAAATTTAATAAAAGTACAAGCAGGAATAAAAACAAATATTCACCTGTATTAAAAAAAAACATTTATCGTAAATTTTTTTTCACATTTTTGCTCTAATAATTTTGTATCAGAAATATTTTCATTTTTGAAAAAAAAATTAATCTTAAACATTCAAAGACACAGTATTTTTCATAATTTTAAAAATCATTTGATCTACAATCCCGAGAAAATTTTATTTTTTTTAACAAATATATTATAAATTTTATTCTAACATTAAAAAAATAATATAATAAAAATTAAATTAAACTTTCAAAATGCGATACTTTGAACTTATCATTTAGAAATTCATGGCAAACTTGGTTTTAATTTAAATTAATTACACTTCATTTAATAAATTGAAATGTAACCGGTATATTTATGAATGAAAACAATACTTGCAAGCATTCTGATTTCATTTAATTTTGCAAATATACGAAATATGACTGCGATTAATTTTATTAGAAATAATGTTATTATATTGTAATTATAAATATTATATATTTATTGTCGAGAAATTCGATTTTTTTAAATCTCATGTTAAAAAAATTATTTCTATTTTAATAAAAGAAAACAATGAAGAATAATATTTTAAAGTAAAATACAGTCTACAAATTATTAAACTATAATATTTCTGTTTTTATAATTTAGTTCAAACAATTAAAATTTTCAACCTACATTCCAATATTGAGGAAAAAAATTGTAAATAGAACATTCGTTTCGAGTGTGATAACATAGGCTAACAATCTGTAACAGGGAATTTCATGTCTAACTTATAATTGAACTAAAATAATAATTAAAATAGTTGTATGTTTTAGTAATTGTTAAGAATGATATATTTTTTTTTTTTTTTTTTTGCCTAAATTGGAATGGGAAAATTTATCTTCAAATTATGACACAAAATAACAAAACTATTTCCAAGTTATGAAATTATATATAAATGCAAATTTTTTTTTCACGTTCCATTGGAATAAAAAATAAAAATTTTTAATTTTTTTTGTAAAAATGGTAAATTGAAATATAAAACCTGATAACTATACTATATCAGATGCACGGACCGTAAAGAAAGACCACGTCTAGGAGGGAGATTGAGTCGAGCAATTGGACGATCACAACTGGGAAGGGGAACTCTGACTTGACTCGATCTCAAACCGGCAGTCTTTCTTCTTGGTCCATGCGTCTGATATAGTGTAACACTTATAAACATTTCGTGGATTTAAAAGATTAGAAAGGGGTACGTATTATTTTATAATAATTTTATTTATTTTTTCGTTATAATTAGCCAATGGTTTTATATTTCAATTTACCAGTTTAACAAAGAAAATGACAAATTTCCATTATTTATTTAAATGATACGAAGGAAAAAATTTGCAAGAATTGTTTACCTTTTTCATTGTTTACAATTTCAAAACTTGGACATATTCTTATCCCAATGGGAAACTGCCACGAGTAACCATTGGCGTATTAATGGCCCAATGATGGGAGCCAATGAAAAAACCATTGGCACCCAATAATGGACCATTATTGGTAAAGTCATGGGCTGTCCACGCCGATGCCAATGATTGGCAACCATCATTGGCAAATTATTGGCAACCAATAATTAGCCAATATTAAAAATTTTAATAATAATTTAAAAAATCAATAATTTAAAAAAAATTTATATTTTTATTATTTTTTAATAGTTATTATTATTATTATTTTATTTTTAATAATTAAATTAAAATAAAAAAATGGTCATCAAAGTATTAGTGAAACTATTTCTTCCAAAAAAGAGTTTGTCTCAAATCCAATTAATAGAAGAGACATCGGGCAGAAAAAAATTTCGACGAGAAAAAAATTTTAGATCACTGCTTATATACCAATCAAGTGGCATCTCAACTGCGAGAAACAGTGATGTTCGCCCTCCCTTTGCGGCGTTGAGTGAACTAAAGTCCAGAGCTGAGCCATCAGCGCAGCGCGGGAACATTTGAAAAATTTGATTTTATTAGATATTTTATTTTATTTTAAATATGACAAATAATTAACTTAATAAATAATTAATGTCATTAATAATTATTAATAACATAATGTCATACTTAATAATTCGTTAATTATTATAAAATAAAATATCTAATAAAATCAAATTTTTTAAATGTTCCCGCGCTGCGCTGATGGCTCAGCTCTGGACTTTAGTTCACTCAACGCCGCAAAGGGAGGGCGAACATCACTGTTTCTCGCAGTTGAGATGCCACTTGATTGGTATATAAGCAGTGATCTAAACTTTTTTTCTCGTCGAAATTTTTTTCTGCCCGATGTCTCTTCTATTAATTGGATTTGAGACAAACTCTTTTTTGGAAGAAATAGTTTCACTAATACTTTGATGACCATTTTTTTATTTTAATTTAATTATTAAAAATAAAATAATAATAATAATAACTATTAAAAAATAATAAAAATATAAATTTTTTTTAAATTATTGATTTTTTAAATTATTATTAAAATTTTTAATATTGGCTAATTATTGGTTGCCAATAATTTGCCAATGATGGTTGCCAATCATTGGCATCGGCGTGGACAGCCCATGACTTTACCAATAATGGTCCATTATTGGGTGCCATTATTGGAATTATATTGGCATCCCTGGCTCCCATTATTGGGCCATTAATACGCCAATGGTATTTTTCCCATTGGGATATTAATTTCCCTATTGTTTTTGATGAAAAAATTTTTATTCATATAAATAACAATTTTTCAAATCTTAATTTTTTGTTAATATATTTTATATTAATTTCCAACAAAGAATTCAATATAATTTATGGTATTTTTAATTACACATAATTAATAATTAAATTACAATTTTTTTTTTACTTTCACATCATTAAATGGATTTTTTGTAATAATATGATGATAATTTTCTATTTCAATTTCTTTAAATTTAATAATAACTGATGCTACGTAAATTATTATTTTATAATTTATATTTCTTTCTTCAAAAATAATAGTAATTTAAATAAATATTATAAAATTATTTAAATATTTTCGGGGGAAATTAAACGCTAATATCCCTGAGATTCGTTCATGTAAATGAGTATAATAAAAAATATCTTTTATTATATTTTTTGAAAATTACCAGAATGCAAACTATTTTCTAAATTAATTTTACAATGTTCATTTTTATCTTTTTCTTCAATTCAATTTGAATTGAAAATATTGCTGCATAAGAAAAAATTTTTTTAAAATTTTATTTTAAGAATTTATTTATTTATTATGAGCGACTGGTAAAATAATTACAAGTGTAAAGTGAAATGTTATTTAATAAAAAAATAATTCAACATTTTCTTCGAAAGCAGCAAAAATGCTTTATTTAGCACTGAATTAAAAAAAAATCTTTTTTTAATTATAAATTATGATGCTATTTTGTTTATTGTAAAATATAATGTAAATATAGAAATAAGAACTACTTTTTGGATTTTTTTCGGAAATTTGCTGGTCAATTTCAAAATATTCATTGACATTATTAAATAAAAAAAAGGGGGGATTACAAGTTCATTGTAATCTCTGCCCAGAATTTTCTAAATTTACGCATTAAAATGACCAATTGCTAAAATAAATACCAATATAATATATATGTAAAATTATAAAAAATGAGGCGTTCTAACTAAAATTAAAACATCAAGATAAATTATTATTAAATGATTAATAAATTTCAATATATTTATTTTGCAAAATAATAAAAATTTTATTTACTAATTTGAAAATTCTTTTTCCTAGTGCTTCGCATTAAATTCAAAAAAAAGAAATAAAAATTAGAAACTTGATGTTTCAGTTTTAGATATTTTTAATTTTTTTAAAGAATACGTTGTTTCTTTATAAAAAAAACATTGTAGTTGTAGATTTAACTGTAACATTATAATAGTAAATTGTATTATAAATATATAGCATTGAGTCATTAAAAATATTTTATTAAAAAAGATTTATATTAAAAAACAATGTCCTTTGTTATAATAAACACTTGTAATTTAACTTTTATCATCAATTTACGTTTTACTGATTTTAAAATATTAATAATTAATACATTCAGCTTTGTACTTTGCAAAAATTAAATTGAATTAATGTCCAATTAATTATTTATTTAAATTTTTATCATCTCATTCGAAATTACAACAAGAGATTATTTATATTATATAAAACTGAATTCAGCTTTGATAATGTACTAATTTTAGCATAAATAGTTATAAACATTCGTATATATATTTGTATTATCATCGAAATAAAAGACTGTACATAAAATGTAATCAAATAAACAAATGTCGTTTATTTACAGGAATTTTGTCATTCAAATACATTTTTTTTTCGTTTGTACCTATAATAAAAAATGTTAATCTATAGCCGGCAACAGTTACACGCGAAAGTTAAATAAAAATTTATAATTTTATTTTATAATTACTGAATTTTCATTATAAAGTACCTATACAATTTTTAAATTAATTAAAAAATGGAAAATTAATACAACTTTTTTAATATTATAATAAAAAATTCACTTTATTAATCACTGATAATTAATTTTTTTTTTTAATAGCAAAATAAAAAACTTTGTATTAATATAAAAAATCATGTTATGCAAAAACTCTACAAACAATTCTAACCACTATATTTGTATCTAAAAAGACGATCAATTTTTATTTTCTCAATCGTCACGTGCGACTTGTTTGCACTAAGAAAGACTATTTATTTTATCCAAATTTGTTATAGTGTACGAGTGGAAATTTCATTATCCTCGTACAGACATTAATACAGTAAAATATGACATTGATGTTTGAAGAACCTTTAGGTAATTTTATAAAAATATAAAATATAATTAAATCACTCTTAATTAATTTGTGATTAGATAATATATGATTTTTCCTATATTATTTCATACCCTTGTAAAAAACTGTAATGAAAGGATGAATATTCTACCAACGATGAATGTTGTCGGTTTAGATTCTCTTCTCATTATAATAAGTAACAATTTTTTTGTATTATTTGACAAATCAAACCAATCTGAATTGTATCTATTAAAATCAGTGTTTAATTTTCATTAATTTTATTACTTAAGGCAGCGCAATACGAGAATATTGTCTTTATTTATAATAAGATATTTAAAGTTTATAACATTGAAATATATCTTTACGAGTAATTCACTAGAAAAAAATGAACTTTAAAATTTTTTTGTAATTTACATCAACGTTTTTAAATAATATGTCCATGAAAGGTATCATGCCACAAAAATAATGTTTTTGGCTGAAAAATTTGGTTTTGATCTAATCTATAAATAAAGTTCAATTATAATATTGTAGGAAACGTCTCTTTCGAATATAGTCAAAAGATAGTCTTCTTTTCAGCGACAATATCATTATTAGTATGATTTTAAAATCACATCCAATTCGTAATCAGCGACCCCAAAAACCCCTGTGAATTCTAATTTTTAAGCAAATCTAAGCAATTTTTATAAATATCGTCCGGCATATTGGATCCGCCATTTTGAATTTCGAAAAACTAACATCGAATTCTTAATCAGCGATCCCAAAAACTCCCGAATACCAATTTTTAGGGAAAAAAAAAAATTTTCCATACATTTTGAGCACTTTTTGTTGACTTCCTTCTGCCAACGAAGGGGTTAAGGGATGTTTTTCTAAAATTGAGGAGGTTATTTTTTAGAAATCTAAAAAATATTTTAGCAATGCTATATGAAAACATTTATCTGTTATTAAATTGATTTCTATCATAAGTAACATGAAATTGACCGATTTTATAGTTTTGCCCATATTTGCTTCAGAATTTAAAATTTTTTATTGATACATTGGTAGTAATAAAAAAAGAAGATAGTTTATGAACTACCTCTGGTACTTCCCATCTATTATACGAGGTTGACGAAACTTATTCACAGTATACGTCGCATACATACAGATAAAATAATTTTTAGACTTTTGCCATTGCACAATGGCAGATGTTTTAATGATATATTTAACACTTATAAATACATATCCCTAATAGTTGAAAAATATACGTATAATTACACGTGGAGATTATAAAGAAAAATAATTTTTAAATTTAAAGCATAAAATATACAATATTGCTTCATTTCGAATAATTGAAAAATAATATAGCATTTGTGTTAATATAAGCTTTAAATTAAATCTTCTAAATTATACACATAGACATTAATTTAAGATAAGATAATTTGACTAACGACTAGTCATCTAGTTTAAAAAAATTTTAACACGTATGCAATATTTTTCCACTTTTTTCATTTTCATTTGTTATTAATTAAATATTTTTTTATTGTAAAAGAATTAATAATTTACAGAAATAATGTATGATTATCTCAAATAGTAGACCCTAACAAGTATTTATGAAATTAATTATAAATCAGTTACTTTAAGCAAAAAAAATTAATTCGAGATAAATAATAATAATATAATAATAATAATAATAATAATAATAATAATAATAATAATAATAATAATAATAATAATTTGTATTCAATTTGTATGTTTCTTCGATCCAAAGTCTCAAATTGAAAAAATGTATAACTAATTTTAAGTAATTTATATAACAATATTTTAAAAACTGTTCTACTCTAAAAATCTAAATTAGTAAAAATGTTTACTAATTTAAATTAGTGACTCACTTTTTGCTTCTGAATTAGTAAAATTTTACTAACTATTAGTAACTTTTACTAACAATTAGTAAAACTTAACTAATTCTAAAGCAAAAAGTGAGTCACTACCCGTGTGGAAAAGTGATGTGGGCCCACAGTGGGGGCCCTTATGGATCGCCCTCATGCCATGAGGGGCGCATATGGATGATCCATAGGGGCCCCTCATGGAAACGACATGCTCATCGATGAGGGCGCCCTTATGGGCCCTCACGTTTGCCCTCATCTTGCCCTCAAGTTTGCCATAATGTTTTTTAATCAATAATATTAATAATAAAAGTTAATTAATAATAAATAAGCTTAAGTTATGAATAAATAACATATTTATTTAATAATTATTCAATTTTAAATTAAATTCTTACTCAAATTGAATTTATTAATTAACGTTCTAATTAATTAACTGTCGGATATAATTAAAAGTAATAATAAATTAATTAATTAAAAAATTAAAAAATATGTAATTTATGCATACTATTAACGGATATTTTTATTTTTCAATTAATTCATACATAGAATTAATGATTGAACGCAAACCTGAGAAACAAATAAATCTAACGCATGGGGGGAATCGAACCTACGAAAAAATATTTGAATTTTGGACTTAGAAAATTTTGCTAATCGATCATGAGGGCGATCCATGCGGGGCCCCTACGTTGCCCCTCATGGATTCGCCATATGGATCAGCCCTCATGGGCCCCCGCCGGGGGCCCCGAACTCTTGAGGGCAAGATCGTGGCTTTTTCCACACGGGTAATTTAAATTAATAATCATTTTTACTAATTCAGAGTTAGAGAGTATGATTGTTACGATTGTGATAATAATAATATATAGGAGAATGGAATTCTTTTTTAATAACATTGAAATCTTCATTGTTGTTTTGTCCCAATTAATAATAAATTATAATTTCTTTAAAATTTTTTTGGCAATTTTTTAGGATAGGAAAGATATATCAAAAACATTTGCAACGTTTCGAAACCGGAACCGATTTCCTCATCAGAATTTATTAATCGTTAATATATATTTAATAATATTTAATATTAATCTCGAAGAAGAATTTGTTTCCAAATAATAGATAATTAATAGATTAATATATAATGTTTGTATGTTGATAAAAAAAAAATTAATTCAAATCTAAATGATGAAACACAAACTAAAGTTTTCGAAATATACCTGTTGTCAGCAGTATATAAATGGTTGAAATTTGTATTAACAACAAAGTCTAAAGATCTACAGAAGTCTAAGGCAGAAGGTAACTATAAAATTAACCTATCTTTTTCTTATATTTTTTTTTTTTTTGTCAATTTGACTTGTTAATAAAACATCATAAGTTACTTTTAAGGTTAATGCCAGTAAAAATGTTTTTATAGTATCATTTCTGTCACTAAAATCACAGTTAGGTGTTAGCGAGGTAGAAGCAATATAACTCCAATTTCTTTTATTATTTATTACTATTTAAGCTTAATTTTTTCAACATTCATGTGTTTCAATTTATTATTCAGGTTACCACATCTAATCTAATTCTATTGATTGCTAACGTAAACCATAATTGTTAGCAAAATGGCAACTACAAGATCATTGGGTTTCTATTTTGCCATTATCACCATTTTGTCAATATTCGTTGACACTAATTGTCAAACACCTCCAAGTGAGAATAGTTCTTCAAAAGGTATGAAGGTTTTAATTTATAGTTAGCTGTTTTCACTTCATACTTCATTAACAACTTTGCAAGCAAAAAAAATGGTTCGTTATAATTGACCGAACTGGGTATGGTTGAAAAAAGTTCAGTTATTGGATACAAAGGGCAAATTGTTTCAACTAAACTAGTACGGCTGCAAATGCAAAAGTTTTTCAATTATTATAACCAAACATATTCATTTGTTATTTTAAAAGCATTAGTTCATGTTTATTGATAATAATCAGAATTAAAAATTTAAAACTGTCAAAATAATTTTTGACTGTTTCGTTATTAAAACCCTGGCGGATCTTGAAATCGGAATGTACGCTGAATTCGTTGTACATTCGTTACACATTGCTTAAACATTTAGTTGGAGTAAAAATTGTGTAGAAACTGAGTGGAAACTGTGGAAAAGTGTAATTGAATTGAATAATAAAAGTATTTAGTGATAGATTTGTGCTGTATTTGCGATAAATTAACGTGTTATTATTAAATAAATAAAGTTTAAAGTGTAAAATGTTCGCGTAAGTGAGTTTGCCAGGCTAGGGAATTTTCTAGTGACATCCAAATTGATAGTCGATAAAGAAGTTGAGCCGCCGACTTTGCACGGTAGGTGGCAGCATTCATAATTTCCCCTTTTTAAAAATTCTCTTTTTCAATTGTAAATAGAAAAATTAATTAATTAATAAGTTATATAGTTTCTATGTTGTCATTTTTTTTAACAATTGAATTTTTGAAGATTGTTTAATGAGATAAATTAAACTTGTATAATCGATGCAAATTGTTGTTTTTAAAATACTTTTAAATAAATCTTTTCTTTTAATTACATTTATATTAAAAATAAATAATAATAAAATAAAGGAAGATAAAAAAGTTTTCTTTATTAAAATTACGATTAAATTAATTTAATTGAATTTAATTAAAAAACAACAATTTGCATCGATTATACAAGTTTAATTTATTTCATTAAACAATCTTCAAAAATGAAATTGTTAAAAAAAATGACAACATAGAAACTATATGTAACTTATTAATTAATTAATTTTTCTATTTACAATTTAAAAAGAGAATTTTTAAAAAGGGGAAATTATGAATGCTGACACCTACCGTGCAAAGTCGGCGGCTCAACTTCTTTATCGACTATCAATTTGGATGTCACTAGAAAATTCCCTAGCCTGTCAAACTCACTTACACGAACAGTTTACACTTTAAATTTTATTTATTTAATAATAACACGTTAATTTATCACAAATACAGCACAAATCTATCACTAAATACTTTTATTATTCAATTCAATTACACTTTTCCACAGTTTCCACTCAGTTTCTACACAATTTTCACTCCAACTAAATGTTTAACCAATGTGTAACGAATGTACAACGAATTCAGCGTACATTCCGATTTCGAGATCCGCCAGGGTAACTAATGTATATTTCGATTTAGATTTAACCAAATTAAATACAACCGAACTTGTTCGGTGACATGAAACCGAGAGTTAGATCAGTTCTATTTTTTCAAGACAGTTCGTTTGCAACTACTGAACTTTTGTTTATACCAACCGAGAACATTTTTTTTCATGTGGTAAATTATTTTCTATTTTCGTATTTTATTTTGATGTCATATTTTTGTTAGCAGATGCCTGTTTTAGTTCTAATACTGAAGTTGATGTTGAAATGGAACCATTTCATAGTTACACCCTGAAATGGAACAAGCCCAATTTCAGTGGTTTAATTGAGTATCAAATATGTATGAGTGAAAAGGATAGTAAGTAAAATTTTGTTAAAAAATAAGTTTCTATTATCAATAGACTCGTGAGATAAAACTGTATCTATAACACTCAAAATAAATAATGTAAATTTTAATTATTCATTAAAATTAAGTAATATTGAATTCACAGTAATTTGAAAAAAAATGAGTGAATATATTGGAAAAAAACACACACGAAGTTCTTAGCGTATTCCAAAATCTGTAAGAGACAATCTGTAAATTTTTATGTATTTTTTAATTTGAATTTGCCCTAAAATATTTCACAGGTTCATTATTAAATGCAATTATGTTTTATTAATCAATTTTGAATTACAAAATTAGAAAAAGTACTTGCAATTTACCAAGTGAATTAATTGTTTTTTCGTACTAATTAATACATCATACTAATTTTATAAAAGAACAAAATAATAATGTACATATATATGATTTTCCTTGCGTAGCTGGGGTATGTGAATTTTATAAAAGTAGTGCTGTTTGTCCAACATTTACAATGAAGGGATATATGCCAAAAGACTTATTTCATTTTGTTATTTACGCTCATGAATTAAGTAATCTTGATATTAAGTGGACGAGCTCTGAATTCAACACCACAGAAATAATTGGTATGGATCTTAACAATCAGTAATCAGTTATAAAATTACCTCTTATTACTCTTAGAAAAAAACCAATTGAACATTTGGATTCTTTTTTAGCATTTTAAAGTTCCATGAAATAATTCTTAAGAAAAAATTGCAAAACAACAACACACAATTTTAAAAATATTTTTACTTCATTTTTGTTGTTATCTAAATTTTTGAGAATATTCACTAAAGGTTGACATAAAGTTTTTTAAACTTAAGTGTTTACGAACATATATACTAATAGAGTAAAATTAACTTTTCAATTTAATGCGTAATTCAAACTTTTGTTTTACTACTTTAATACACATTAACAACATGTTAGGGATAATTTTTAAATTTGAATTTTATTGTAACTTTATATTTTAATTTGAAGATGGTTGTAAACCTAGAGGAGATATCAAAGTGCTTAATATCACTAAAACATCTGCCATTTTGCAATGGGAAAAGCCTAAAAATTGTAAATACATGGATTCGATATATTTTGTGGAAAAAAATCGTCAGCTCCGCAATGGATGGAATACACTTGAGGGATATCATCGAATTTCTATCGCTTCAAATACTACCAATGTAACAGTAAAAGATCTTGAACCAGGAAAAAAATATGTGTTTACATTAGATGTTGCACTTCTCCCAAATAGAATAAAAGGAATCTCTAGTCCAGAAATCAGAATTAAACATCCTTTAGGTACGAAATATCATTTAGAATTCACATGTTTCTTTTTTAATGCTTATTAATTAACATGCATTGTAACATTGCTAATATTTTAATAATATTCTATTACAGATTCAAAAATTGATTCTTATGTCAGCAAAAAATTAGAAAAAATTAATTCTGATGTTCCTTTTAATCCTCTTGATTACAATTATTCTATCACAGTTGTTGATTTTGATGATACAACAGCCTATATTCAGTGGGGTAAACCTGAGAATATTTCTACGGCTGCAAAAATGGAGGTTTTTATAATCGACTTAAATAATACTAGGGAACCTGAGTTGCTTGACTATGTATATCCTGATGAATTATATAATTTTGTGAAAATCAAATATTTAAAACCCGACACAGGTTATAAATTTCTAGTTGCGTATACGGATGGCGAGGATGTTCATTTTCTCATAAGCGAACAAATCATTACTGCCCATCCAAATAATTTGCTGCTCCTTACTTATTAAAGTTTTACTTTCAATACTATATAACGAAATAAATATATTTCAATGAACATATTATAATGATTTATCTTGACACTTTTTATAATTCCCATCTGGTCCTAGTCTATCCTAAATAGCACTTAACATTCATTCAATATTGCTACAATATTGCCAATATTACTGCTACTATATTGCCAATGTAATATTACTGCATATGTATTACAGCAATTTTTAAATGTCCTGTTTGCTACAATACTTCATGGCAATCTTGCTGCAATATTTTAAAATGTTCAAATTACCAAAAGATAGAATTTCTAAAAGAAGAAATTGCAAAAATTTTAAAAGTTCATATTATTACCAAAAGAATAAGTTTCTAAAAGAACAAATTGTAAGAAAAATTTAAAAAATTTGAATTATTTTAAAATTGAAATTCTAAAAGATTAAATTAATTAATTATTATTATTTTATTATTAAAAATTTCTTTTTTTATGATTCTGAATTTTAAGAAATTTGATCTTTGGTAATTTGAATATTTGAATTACCAAAAGATCGAAAAATTTCGAAATTCCATCAAATAAAAATTTGAAATTTTAGAAATTCGATCTTTTGATAATTAATTCAATACAATCTTGTAAAACAAATATAATTCGTTGTTTAATGCGCGTTCCACACTTAAACCTTTTGGAGATCCGACACGACACAACGTGCCCCCGTCAGTGACTCTGCGCATAGGGGAAGTGAGTGTTTCTCAGTTAAATGCTTCTCGCTTTAAATCATCGTTAATATAAAAAGTAAATTATTATTCTTATAACAACAATTAAATCATATGTTAAATTTAAAAGATTTAATGTGTTTCAGAAAATTTTGTGAATTTGAATTAAGTGATTATTTATTTTAAACAATTATTAACTATTATAATAAATTAACTGTATTCATACCGATTTATTTTTGTATTTAAAACAAATAACATTTTCTTCTATCAAGTAACATTAACTTAATAAAATAATTTCAATGTAAAAATAAAAATAATTTATGCCGAAATGTAATATTTTTTCTGAAATTTAAAACTATTCATTTTTAAATACAGTAAAATGAAAATTTCGTAAAATCATAAATAAATAACGCTATTTTTATTAAAGGCCACCTGATACATATATTTTTAAAACGCCTATCTAATATATTATTTATTACTGTTTCTATGTATATAAAATTAATTTATGAAAAATACATGTTTAAAAAAGAAAATTCATTATTAACAATAAATTAAAACAAATGTTCTTTTAACCAATAATATAATTTCATTAAAAAAATTTATCAATTAATACTTGATTAAATGTCAAATTTAATTGAATTAAATATTCACAAAATTTTCTGAAACATATTAAATCTATTAAATTTAACATATGATTTAATAGTTGTTATAAGAATAATAATTTATTTATTATATTAAAGATGATTTAAAGCGAGAAGCATTTAACTGAGAAACACTCACTTCCCCTACGCCCAGAGTCACTGGAGGGGGCACGTTGCTTCGTTTATATCTTCCGTGCGCAGTGTCCCGGGTTCTATTCCCGGTCGCTTCAATTTGCTGAATCCCTAAATTTAAGAATTTTTAGGTAAGTCGTATTTTTCTATCTATATTCAATCCACAATATTAAAGTGCCTTGGTAATTTGTAAATTTGTTTTAAATTCAAATAATAAAATGACGAGACTGAGGAAAAGAGACTATCTTTTAATTTTTAAGAAAGAGGTATATAGTACAAGACTGGTATTAACTTTCACTTTTATTTTTTGTCATTAAAATCTTTTTTTTTTATCTTTTTCAAACTCGAAACAACGTTTCGATAAATATTACGTATTACTTTTCTTTTATTTTATTAATATAATATTATATTTTTTAATAAATTTCTTATTCTATAATGCTTATTATTGTACCTCAAGTCATAGACAAAATTAGAATCCTTGTAAAGTATAAATTAATGTTTTGATACACTGTAAAAAATAGGAGTTTGATTGTAACTCCCAGTGGGGACTCTTTAGTAGTCCCACTCCCTTTCAGAGTTTGTGTTAAAGGAATTAATCTTAATGTTTACCCCCTTTGGATTTGATTTTTTAATCTCAACTCCGATTGTCATTAACTCCCTAATTTTTTTTACAGTGTAATGCTTACAATCTCATTTAATTAAAAAATGTAGATATTAAAATAATTAAAAATAAGTTGTACATCGATGTAGAAAGACTAAGACTGTTATCCAGTAAATGTTGAGTTGGTAGAGTTAAAAAGAAAATATGAAACACTTGACATATTATATAACATCCAAATCTTATTCCATCGCCAGAACTCTTCACACTCATTACATACTGAATCACAGGATAAAATTAGAGACTAGGCTAATATTTTTTTTCAACATTATAGTTTATGAATGCAAAAAAACTTTATTTTATAAAAATATGGTACTTACCTGGACTCCTGTGACGCTTAAATCTATTATACTAAGACCAAATACCAATAGATAGGCTGTTGAAAAAACATCCTGGACATCATTCACATATCTCGCAAAAGTAAAATACTTTAATTAATATAAATACAGTTGGTTTTTATTTTTCTTATAAAATTCATAATGTGGATTAAATGTATGGTTAAAAACTAAATAGACTTGAAATTTGTGTAGAGAAGGTAATTTAGAATATCAGTCAATTTCAAATGTACCTAATTTCTAATTACACTGTTCAAAGCATTTTGTTCTTGATAACCTTCTCTAAACAAATTCATCTCCTGTACAATACTGTTCATAAATATTTAAATTGTTAAAAAAAAATATTCAGATATGTATGTAGTCGTTTGGTTTTAATTTCGTGTATTAAAATTAGTGTAAAATTTGTAAAATACAAACAATAGAACTTTTCTATGCATTGCCACGCAAAGTTTAATTTCTCTCTGGAGCTTCTTTTGAAAACTAATATTATCACTAGAATCTGGATTTTCTCTTATGGCCACATTCAATTTATGCCTATAAAAATAAGAATAAGAAAATATTATACAAGCGGTAAAAAATAAACATACAACTGTTTTTAATATAGGTTTTTGTGTGCTGAAAGTAAATCCTAAGACCTTTCGGATATTTAAGAAATACTACGGACGGATAATTTTACCACGTCCGTAGCACATTCTGAAGTATCTGATGTTGTTAGAGAATCTGCAATTAATTCTTCTTATTTCAAAATATGAAAAAAAATATTTCTAATAAATTAATAATTATTGTTTATACCGTGTATAAAATAAAAAATTCATCCATGTAATTTATTGTGTAGAAATTAAAATATGTAATTGAGTTTACCCTATAATTTCAAATATTCCACAAGCATGTTCAAGAAACATTAAAAGAAGTGTATCTCCATTTACAAATGCAGCAGTACATAGGTAAGCAGCCGTATAACCGTGAAGAGATACCAAATAGTAATATGCTTCTGATTTTAAGCCAAATTCGAAAAGAAAAACCTTGTTTTTACGTTCATCAATATCCTTAGTAAGATTAATTACCAAAGGTATAAAATGTGAAAATACGTAGACTGTAACATGACCAAAGGATCCAACTGAAAAATAACAATACTTCACTTGCTTGATGCAAAAAAAAATGATAACTCGGAATTGTTTTTAAAAAGATGAAAAATGAAGCTACGATGCGCCATGCCAGAAGGAGATTTAAATAAAAATGAGTTGGTACTTAAAAATGTTTTTAAATTATGGTTCTAACATGAATGAAAAACATTTCTCAATAGGTTTTAAAATCAGTTTACGTGTCCGATTTAAAAAAAAATTGAGCTTTAATATAAAAATAGTGTTTTATGGGAAACCAGAATTTATTTAATGTACATATATGTATAAATAATAAATGTTTTAGATTTGTGTTCATATAAATTTATTAACATTAAAGTTATTTTCTTGTTTCGTTTTTATATTTATGCATTGAGTGTCAAACGGTATCTGAAATTCTTTGGCAAGAAAAAAGCTTTAACTATTGCTCTAAACATGAAATAATATTGATTTTAAAATACTTTTTACTCGAGGCAAGAACACTTTTTGTAAAATCAGCTAAAATCCTTATTTTATAAATTTCCTAAATCCAAAAGACTGTACAAATCTATAGAAAAACGCGACTGCAAAACGAAAAGTAGAAAAGTAATCTAATAACAGCTGCGACTTTGTGCTCCCTGGCATGCTTCTGCCATCTGACGGCTACAGGAGGTAATGAACCTGTCATTATATTACATTCTTACTTTTCGTTTCTCAATCACGTTTTTGTATGGATTCGCACAATCTTTCGGATTAAGAAGTTTATAAGATAAGGATCTTTGGCTGCTTTTGTAAAAAGTGTCCGTCTTTCGAAAATAAGTATTTAAAAATCAATTTTTATCATTTTTACGTTCAGTGCCGTTATTACAGTGCGATAATTAAAGGTCTCTTCTTGCTAAAGAATTTCAGAGACCATTCGACACTCTTAAATCGAGCACGTAAACTGATTTTAAAACCTATTGAGAAATGTTTTTTATTCATCTAAGGACCATTACCAAAAGGAATTTTTAAGTGCCAACTCATTTTTATTTAAACCTCCTTCTGCCGCACCGTGCGCTGAAACACACGATATATCGTTATTTGATAAAAAATTTAACAAATCATTTTAAATTTTGCGCTCAGTGGTACCAATCGAAATTCCATGAGAAAATTTTCGTTTTCGACCTCCCATTTTCTTCAAACCGAATAAAGATATGTCATATTTTACAGCTCCATTTTGAGGTGTCATCCTTTTCAAAACAATTCCGAGATGTCGTTTGTTTTACAATTAAGCAAGCAACTTAAAGAAAACAGTAAAACAATTGTCTAATAAAAATAATAATAAAGTGACATTTAATTATAACAAACTTAAAGATTTTTATCATATTTTCAAAATAATAAAATTTTTATTTATGTAACAAAATATCTACTGAAGGATACTATAGTGTAAATCCTGCATTTTCTGCCATATTTATGTAGAATTTGACTTTCAGCTTTTGATGTTAACGTGTCCCAATCATTTTGTATTTTGCAAAAAACAATATTCATCTACAAAGCAGTTATAATTTTTATATATGATTCACTGATAATGATACATTTTTTACATCAAAAATAAAATAATATAAATATTTATTTAGCAAGTGACCTCTACTTTACAGAACTCAGACATTTATTAAGGAGTTAGTACCACATCTCAGTGACTTTTCTTAAATATTTTTTTTTTTGTTACAAAATTTATTTTATTTACTTTAAACTTTTTATACCTAAAACAAAGGGGTTTTAAACTATTAAAAAAAATTTTATTCCTTATTTATTATGGATTATCTTGCTGTTATAGCCGCCTGAAAATACTCATACTTGTGATTGGCGGACACGATATCTCCAATTTAGGTCATCGAAAAATAAAATATTTGATATTTTCTTGAAAATTAAGCTCGTCGCTATCGTCGGAATTACAATCAACATTTTCGATGAGAAAAAAAATGGCGTTCTTTTTTCGTTTTTGACCTTGTTTTTTCAACTTAAATTGTTTTAAAAAAATGGTTAAATACTAATGAAAAATTATGATTCTAGTTCCGACGATAGCGGTATATGTGTAGAATAAGCTATAAAAATTTGGGCTTAATCGGTGCAATAGTTTTTTGTTTATTGATGTCGGCCAGGTCAAAAAACGTTGTTTTGAGAAAAAGCGAAGTTACGAAAAAATGTCCTCTTTCAAAAAAATACCCCCTTACACCACAGGATACATTATATACATGTATAAATGCTTTTATATACAAATATATGTGTAATTTGATTTATATTTATATAGATATATATCATTATCATTACTATATTATAAAAAGATATCGCAGCCGCCCCTGATTCAAGAATGAACGCTAGGCGAGAATTTCGACGCTACACGGGAGCTCACAGTACTCGCCTACTGTTCAACTCGCGAAGCATTAAAACTCGCGTACCGTTCAGAATTTGTCTCGAAAATTTCAGATATTCTACTATCTATATCAAAAACATAAGTTAAAAATTAACATAACATCAATACTCAAGGTCAAACGACAGAATCATAGATTAAATCGAACATAACTTCAAAAAACAAAGTTTTTGATGGAGTAGAGACGGACATAACCTCAAAATTATTATCATTGGTCAAGATATGATCCCTCCCTTTAAACTTGTAAAGGTCATAGGTCAAGGGAAAACATAACCTTAAATTTTCGTTGAAGGTCATAGGCGTGTAGGCGAACATAACCTCAAAATTTGGTCAAAGTTGTAGAAAAAATCTGACATTACCCTAAAATTAGAGTCATAGGTTAGAAGGACGTCATCCGTGGTGCATCTTAGAAACAAATTCTTTAAAATGAAATAATAAATTTTATTTAAAAAATTGGGTAAAATTAATCTTTAAAAACATATAAATAAAAACTTATTCGGTCCCTAATTAATTTTTCAATTGCAAAATACATGAAAATTTAGTTTACGGATGCAAGTTAAAATATAGTTTATGTTCATATTAAAATATAAATAAATTTCTGCTGTTCAAATTTAAAAATTTTTTATAAAAAACCAAAATAATAGTTTCCATAGCATTTCTACATATATCTACTACAAGAATATGCAGTTTTTATAAAATCGATTTTCTTGAAAAAAAGATGTGGTACAAACCGCTTAAGTTAAATTGTCTAAAGATTATGTTTAAAATTAACTAAATTTTAAATTTAAATTCTTGGGTTTATTGCCACAAAAATATTTACGTAGTTTAGTTATTTCTTCCCCTCTTAAACAAAATTAGAAAAAAAATATTTTAATCCCTAAAAACAAGCCACTTTTTAAAATATTTTTTGTTAACTTAATTAATTTGTATGTGTTTTTCTACTCACATACAAATTAAAAAAAAATTAATTTATTACTTGTTTTACTTTTAGATTGTTATTTATAAAAATAATTGCACTTATTGAAGCATAACAGCATGGTGGAATGCACAACAATACCAAGTCAAGGTTACCAAATACTTTTATCAAACCTGAAATCTAATTTTATTAATTTCTATATTAAGTTCAAAACAATTTTAAACTGTGTGTAATATTACCTGAGCAACTATAAAAGATATCATAATAAATAAATAAAAAGATTTTATGGGTAAGTTTAGCCATAGAGGTAGATATTCACTTTGTCCTGTTATAATTATAATAAATTTGATAACATTGTAGTATGGATTCTTTACTACGTCCATCTCTTCGGTGTTTGCACAATAATGGCAAAATGTAATATGAGGTGTAGCCCTGCTTGTAAGCATCCACACGTTCCTTGCACGAATCCATAGCGAGTATTTAAATATTCATGTAGATAAGCAGTGTTTCCTAAGAACTGTAGACGGAGATATAATTAAAATAATTGTCGTTTCTAAATGTTAACTTAAATAGTGGTGACTGTAATTATAATAATGACTAGTTGAAAAGCTTTTAGCTATATATGAAAAAAAAAATTTAATCAATGCGGTTGGAGTATAGCGTCTATAGACTCTGTAGACAAAACTAAAACATGAATCAGTTTTGGTCTATATGTTTAATTTACACTATTCACTGCAAGAAAGTTTCTCTTCTATTTGATACTAAAAACTTTGATTCTTTTTTTTTAATAATTGTATAACATGAATTCAGTCCGACAAGGTTAAAAATAATAAAACATTATTCAAATTTAACAAAAATGAAGCATTACAAATAAATTGATTGATTAATCTTGACTTGTATATTTCAAATATCTTTTTTATTTTTATACATAAATTGTTGAAATTGAAAGTGTAGAAATGTATTTTTAAAAAGTTGACATAACAACTAAATTTTTTATAAAAAAATTCTAAAGATGAAGATTTTTTATGAAATTGTTATGTAGTTACTTAATAATTTATTTATTAAGGTTAGATTAAATGAAATTTGGAAAATCCAAACAATAGAAGTTTTCTATGCATTGACACACAATAGTATATTTCGATACAAGGGGCCAAATGAGCATACGCTCGTTTGGCCCCTTGTATCGAACCATATTTTTCTTTATAAGTGCAGGCATAACCTCGTTTGACAGCTACTTGCAGCTATTCAAAATGGCCGACTCCCTCATTGTGCGCGCGGACGATGAGCAAAATGTTTTGGCCACCGCTTAACGGTGAGCAAAATACTTTGCTCATCGTCCGCGCGTACAGTGAGGGATTTGACTATTTTGGATGGCTGAAAGTGGTTGCCAAACGAGGTTTTTGCATGCACGTATAAAGAAAATTTTAATTTCGCTCTGTGGCTTCTTTTAAAAACTAACATTATTATTGGAATTATGATTTTCTTTTATTGCACTAGTCAATTTATATGAGGCAAAATTCCTGAAATGTCCGAACAAAAAATTAAAAGTTCTCGAATTTAATCCATACTTTTCTAAAATGTTGTTATTGTTGGTGAAAGTCTAAAAATCAATTATTATTGAATTTAATAAAATAGTTTTTGAATTACAACGTTTTTAATTTTTGACTTTGAAAAAAAAAATTTTTTTTCAATGTACAATATTTATAAGTAAAATGCATAAAAGTTAACATATATATAATGATTTTTAAAGCTTTTTTGACGAGCTACACGCTGTTAATAAAATTTTTTTTTTTTAAAATAACATTTGACCTTGAAATTCAAGGTCAAAATGTTAATTTACGTTTATCTCAAAATCGGATTTTTTAAAAATATTTTTAACTATCTCAATGGAAAGCTTGACTAATTTCCTACAAAACATGTAATTTTCAGAGTGGGATCTTTTAAAGTTTTTGAGATATTAATTAATTAATTAATTAATGTTTATAACAAATGAAATATTTTACAAACGAATAAAGTTACCGTAATTCTGAAGTTAGTAATTGAAAGTTAACGTAATTCCGCATCCAACGAGCCCTATATGAAGTATTTTGGATAAGTAGATTGTTAATAAACAATTGCAATGTTAACTAATTGTTTATTAACAATCTACTTATCCAAAATACTTCATATAGGGCTCGTTGGATGCGGAATTACCTTAACTTTCAATTGGTAAGTTCAGCATTACCATAACTTTATTTGTTTGTAAAATATTTTATTTTTTACTAACAACAAGCATCCAAAAGCCCTATATGAAGTATTTTTGTTCAATTTTAGTTAAATAACAATAAAAAATAAAATATTTTACAAACAAATAAAGTTATGGTAATGCTGAACTTACCAATTGAAAGTTAAGGTAATTCCGCATCCAACGAGCCCTATATGAAGTATTTTGGATAAGTAGATTGTTAATAAACAATTGCAATGTTAACTAATTGTTTATTAACAATCTACTTATCCAAAATACTTCATATAGGGCTCGTTGGATGCGGAATTACGTTAACTTTCAATTACTAACTTCAGAATTAAGGTAACTTTATTCGTTTGTAAAATATTTCATTTGTTATAAACATTAATTAATTAATTAATTAATATCTCAAAAACTTTAAAAGATCCCACTCTGAAAATTACATGTTTTGTAGGAAATTAGTCAAGCTTTCCATTGAGATAGTTAAAAATATTTTTAAAAAATCCGATTTTGAGATAAACGTAAATTTACATTTTGACCTTGAATTTCAAGGTCAAATGTTATTTAAAAAAAAAAAATTTTATTAACAGCGTGTAGCTCGTCAAAAAAGCTTTAAAAATCATTATATATGTTAACTTTTATGCATTCTACTTATAAATATTGTACATTGAAAAAAAATTTTTTTTTTAAAGTCAAAAATTAAAAACGTTGTAATTCAAAAACTATTTTATTAAATTCAATAATAATTGATTTTTAGACTTTCACCAACAATAACAACATTTTAGAAAAGTATGGATTAAATTCGAGAACTTTTAATTTTTTGTTCGGACATTTCAGGAATTTTGCCTCATATATGTGAACAGTAAATGAATAATAGCCCACATAGCACGACTTCTTGCTGTGAGGTTACTGTAAGTATATCTGTAGGGTTTGTAAGGTTACTGTGTAAGCCTGCAGTAAACTTGAGGTCATCTTAAAATTTCCGCCTTACAGTAAGCTTACACAATAAAGCTAAGGTAAGCTTACACAGTAAGATCGTGGTAAGTTTACATGGTAAGGTTGTGGTAAGCTTACACGGTAAGGTAGTAGCGGTAAGATCAACTTTTTTCTTTGTTTGTTGTCTCTTATAGGAATTGTATGGTTCTGCTGGAGAGGGTGGGATTATGCGTTAAAGATGGCTACGATGATGATCAAAGCTAATGGTCCAGTGGCTGCTGCAAAAAAACAACATCTCATCAAGAAGAGAGAATATTGCTCACCCTTGTTAGAATAACATTCGTATATGTAAGTATGTAATTGTAATGAATTTCGCGTGCGGCACTTATTTTTCAAACAAGAGAAGGAAATTACAAGGTTTCAATCTAATGAGTTTGCTAACTCTAAATACTATAGTTTGAAGAAATTGCATAGTAATTTGTAAAAGAAACAGTATTTCTTCTTTGTGAAAAGTGACTATAGATTTGATAAGTACATCATATTTGTTAGGCGACGATAAATTGTATTTATCTATGCAGATTTAGCGTATAACATTTCTCGTAATCTAATCTGCATTCCGCCATTTCACAGTATTATATTACCGTAAGGCATGACTTTGTAGAGTGAATATTTTTTTCTGTAAAAAAGATCCGATTAGAGCTATCATAGAGCATCACATGTACAATTTTCTTAATAGTTTTTCGCAATCCAAAAAAAACTAACTAAAGCTGATATAAAAAAGGTCATAAAATAAAAAAAAATGTTGAGAAAATACGATTAAGTTTTTATTAATGTCTATAATGTGCCATTGTTCCTTACATTTATAAAAAAAGTATCAAACCAATCATGTTTACAAAAAAATTCTTATACCTTAAAAAAAATTTCCAATTTAAGTAATATTATATTGCAATATTTAATTTTTTGATTGTATTATAAATAATTTTGTTTTAAATTTACTATAAATTATTGATTAAAACTATAAATTGATCATCGAAGAATTTAAATTTGAGTGAGTTGAGCGCCACTTCCAATAAGGAAATATTGTCAGCCAATCAGGGCCCAGCATTCATAGTATTCCACCACCTCCAGCGTCGCGCGCCACTTTCTAGTAATGTAATATTTTCAACCAATCAACGCACGGCGTTCATAGCGGAAAGAGTGCCCCACCACCTCCAGCGACACTTTTTGACTTTGCAGCCATTTAGTCCGCCATGAGCCACGTGCCGAAGAAGATGTCCTGAATTTTGGTAAGTTTTTCTCTTTTACGTAACCCTGATACCACCTCCTTTTCCAGGAAGTTAACCAGGTGAAGTTCCATACTTAATCTGTTAACTTCCAGTTAAATTCCATGCATGTCTAAATATTTCCCTTCTTTTTCTTTCCTTTGTTAACTTTCTAGTATTTATCAATTATTTACTAGAAAAATACAAAGGATTTTTTTTGTGAAATATTAAAGTCTAAAATTTAAAGATTGTGGTTTAAAATTTTTTTTATGAAACTGTAACTGGCACATGGTTATCAGCCCCGAGTTAATTTTGAAAAAATTTATGTTAGCAATAACATAAATAAAGTTAATAAAATTAATTTTATTAACTTTATTTTTGGTATTGCTAACATAAATTTTTTCATAATCAACTCGGGGCTGATAGCCATGTGCCAGTTACAGTTTCATAATTTTTTTTAAAGTATCCAATCAAAGTACTTTAAATAATAACATTTCAATTTCCTCGAAAATATAAATTTTTTAAAAATGAGATATTTTATTTAAAGCTGACAACCTTTTTTTTTTGTTTTTTTAATATTGTTTCTTTAAATATTATTAATTTATTGAAAATTCATTAAACAAAGGAAATTATTTGTATACTTTGATTTAAATTTAGTTGCTTTGACGTCATTAAATTTAATACAAAATATTCACCTATTTTCCTTCGTTTGATGGATATTTAATAAAATAATAATAATATTTCAGAGTAATAATAATAAAAAGAAACAAGAGGGGGTTGTCCGCTTCATTTAAAAGGCCCTAAATATCATTAGATAATTTAAATACATATTTATATGTAACCTGACCAGTGAAAAAGGGGCTTACGTGCGAAAATTTTTTTTTATTGATTAGTAATTTTGATAAAAAAAAGTTTTTTCTGTCAGAATCACCAATCAATAAAAAATCGATTTTTTCGCACGTAGGCCCCCTTTTCACTGTCCAGGTCACATATAATATTTAATTATATATAATTAATTTTTACTTTATTTTTTAATTAATACTTTTGTATGAATATTATTGTCTAAAGATAAATAAAATAAATTTTTTTTATAGTCAAAAATATTAGTAAATAATAAATAGTAAAAATAACAATAAAATAATAATAAAGAATAATATTCATACAAAAATACTAAGTAATTAAATAAAGCAAAAAATAAGAAATATATAAATAAATAATTTAAAAAAAGTAAAATAACTTAACTAACCGAGGAAATTCAAATGTAAATAAACATTTAAAGTACTTTGAAGAGATACTTTTAAAGAAAAATTTAAAACTATAAACAATCTTTAAAACTTAAAAAGACTTTAAAATTTAAGAAAAAAATCCTCTGTATTTTTGTAGTAAATAAACAATTGATAAATACAAGAAACTTAAGAAAGGAAAGAAAAAAAAGAAGGGAAGTATATGTAGACATCCGTGGAAGATAACTGGAAGTTGCAGAATTAAAACAGGAACAGACCATGGTTGACCGAGAGGAAAAGGAACCGGTAGAAGGGAGAAGTAAAAGAAGTACTCTACCAAATCTCAGGACATGAGGCACCTGGTTCGAAGGAGGAGAGAGGAGGACACAGGAGACTGTCGAAGAATAACTATGATAAATTTTTTTTAATAAACATTTTATTAATTCATGTTGTACATATTGTTGTAGTCCTTCATTTATAACGTCCATTCCTTCTTCTGGTGGAGTCTTTCTCTTACTTTCCCTTCTACCGGTTCCCTTTCCTCTCGGTCAACCATGGTCTGTTCCTGTTTTAATTCTGCAAATTCCAGTTATCTTCCACGGATGTCTATGTATACTTCCCTTCTTTTTTTCTTTCCTTTCTTAAGTTTCTTGTATTTATCAATTGTTTATTTACTACAAAAATACAGAGGATTTTTTTCTGAAATTTTAAAGTCTTTTTAAGCTTTAAAGATTGTTTATAGTTTTAAATTTTTCTTTCAAAGTATCTTTTCAAAGTATTTTAAATGTTTATTTACATTTGAATTTCCTCTGTTTGTTAAGTTATTTTACTTTTTTTAAATTATTTATTTAAATTAAGGGACTGATAGTAAAAGTGGGTTATAATTTGAATTTAAGTAAAAATGGGTTTTAAGCCTTGCAAGAAAAAACAGTTAAAATATTTTGATTAATTTATCTATTTAGGAGACTATTATTTATTGATGACTTTTCTTTTATAATTATTATTTAAATAAATTTTTAAAACTTGAAATTACTATAAAAAGTATAAATGTTTCTACAGCATAGATTAATTAATTAAAATATTTTAACTCATTTATGCTCGCAATATTTTCGTCCCACTTTTGATCGCACTTAAATTTTAACCCGCTTTTGCTATCAGCCACTCAATTATCAAATGACATTTGGAGTTTTTTAAATGAAGCGGACAACCACCTCTTGTATTTTTAAAATTATTATTTTATTAAAAACCCATAAAATGAAGAAAAATAGGTGAATACTTTATATTAAATTTAATACAAAGTACAAACATATTTTCTATTGTTTAATAGATTTTTAATAAATTAATATATATTTAAAGAAACAATAGGTATTAAAAAAACCAAATCAAGGTTGTCAGCTTTAAGTAAAATATCTCATTTTTAAAAAATTTATATTTTCGAGGAAATTGAAATGTTATTATTTAAAGTACTTTGATTGGATACTTTAAAAAAAATTATGAAACTGTAACTGGCACATGGCTATCAGCCCCGAATTAATTATGAAAAAATTTATGTTAGCAATACCAAAAATAAAGTTAATAAAATTAATTTTATTAACTTTATTTATGTTATTGCTAACATAAATTTTTTCAAAATTAACTCGGGGCTGATAACCATGTGCCAGTTACAGTTTCATAAAAAAAATTTTAAACCACAATCTTTAAATTTTAGACTTTAATATTTCACAAAAAAAATCCTTTGTATTTTTCTAGTAAATAATTGATAAATACTAGAAAGTTAACAAAGGAAAGAAAAAGAAGGGAAATATTTAGACATGCATGGAATTTAACTGGAAGTTAACAGATTAAGTATGGAACTTCACCTGGTTAACTTCCTGGAAAAGGAGGTGGTATCAGGGTTACGTAAAAGAGAAAAACTCACCAAAATTCAGGACATCTTCTTCGGCACGTGGCTCATGGCGGACTAAATGGCTGCAAAGTCAAAAAGTGTCGCTGGAGGTGGTGGGGCACTCTTTCCGCTATGAACGCCGTGCGTTGATTGGTTGAAAATATTACATTACTAGAAAGTGGCGCGCGACGCTGGAGGTGGTGGAATACTATGAATGCTGGGCCCTGATTGGCTGACAATATTTCCTTATTGGAAGTGGCGCGCAACTCACTCAAATTTAAATTCTTTGATGACTAATTTATAGTTTCCTTTAATAATTCATAGTAAATTTTCTTCCGATGTTTTTACAAAATTATTTCCAGGATTGACGGTTGTTTTTTTTCTTATCTCATCTTGCTGATATTGTTGAAAATTGAATTCCATAAAACGATTGGCGGACGTCTCTGTTATTTGTACACGAAACGGAAATGTCAGAAACCTCTTCTTCTTTAGGAAATAACTGTAAATTCAACAAATAATATCAGAATTGTTATTTAATATTTACGATTTCAACAATTATTATCAACAGTATGATAAGTAATAATAATCAATTTACTGTATATAATTTTCAGTATACATAATAAGAATTAAATATAAAACTGCCATAAAGCGCAAAATTATTATAAAAAAAAATTTTTATATGCTTAAAGAGATAAAATAAAATGATTATTATAAGGGCCGTCCATAAATTACGTCACACATTTTTTTTACCTTTTTGAGCCCCACTCCCCCATGTCACACACTTGTGCGTACATTTGTGCCATTTTTTTCTGATGGTTGTCACAAATTGACTTAAAAATACTTTTTCTTTATACGTGCATGCAAAAAACCTCGTTTGGCAACCACTTTCAGCTATCCAAAATAGTCGAATCCCTCACTGTACGCGCGGACGATGAGCAAAGTATTTTGCTCACCGTTAAGCGGTGGCCAAAACATTTTGCTCATCGTCCGCGCGCACAATGAGGGAGTCGGCCATTTTGAATAGCTGCAAGTAGCTGTCAAACGAGGTTATGCCTGCACTTATAAAGAAAAATATGGTTCGATACAAGGGGCCAAACGAGCGTATGCTCATTTGGCCCCTTGTATCGAAATATACTATTTTCATATTGCAAAATAATTTGTTAGAAAAAATTATTTTCAATAGAATGTTTTACTGAATATTGTCAATATAAAAATAAGAATAAAAATTTCACAATGCTAATGATAAAGATAATTCCGCATTAAAATGAACAAATCTTTTAAATAAATGGGGGAACCTACATTAGCCTTCGCCGGACTGGAAATTTTTTATATACGCCGTTGACGGAACCCACCCAGGGTGGGTCAAATGTTTTCTTCTTTGTATATTGAAATAAAAACTTGGAATCATCCAGTTTTTTTTAAATTGTTATATGTTAACAAATAATATATTTTATTAATGTTTGGTTTATTTTTTATTTGTTTAAACAATTTATTATTAATAATTTATAACTGTCTCAACTGTACATAGACAGTAGCAAAATTTTATAAATTTCTTATCTTTTCTTCCATATTATTAATTTAAAGATTATAAATAAAATAAATATTTTAATTTGCAATAACTATTATTATAAATTGTTTAAACAAATAATTGTTGCTATTTATTAACTTTTTTTAGTAACGAACCTAGAAAGATGCAGTTTTTTTCTATTTTTGCAATTTACCAAGCTGAATATAATAAAACATACATTTGGTGTAAAATTATTAATTGAACATTTGTTTAAACAATTTATTGTTGTTATTTATTAACTTTTTTTATACTGTTACAAGAAAGTTGCAATTTTTTCTAATTTTGCAACTTATCAAGCATAATATAATAGCAAAATTTGAGAAAACTGCATCTTTCAAGGTGCAATCCAAAAGAAATTAGTAAATAACAACAATAAATTGTTTAAACAAATAAAAAATGCAATATAATATTTTTATATCCATTATTCGACAACATAAAACACTTACAGTGAAAAGTCTGCATGATTTCAAGTCTTTTTGTAAAATAGAATTAAAAAAATAAAAGTAGAATAATAAAAAAATTTAAGTTTTTCAATTTTAATTCAGGCTTTTTTAAAATAAGATTAATTTAAATATTTCACTGAAATGTATGTCTTCAAATTTTTTAAAATTTGTAAAAGGAACACACAAATAAAAATTATGTTAATTTTTATTACCATTGTATTTTTAATTATTATTTAAATGTAAACATCACGGGTACGTGAACAAAATTGGGTGAAGATTATTAGTTATCTTGAGTTTAACAAATAAGAAATATTTTATTGATTCAGGTACGATAAAGTTAAATATATAATATAAAATATTTGTGCATGTAAACTTGTCAGTCCACTCTTAAAAAATTAAATTTTTTTTAGTTCTAAGTTTCTACAGAACAGTTCTAGAGTTCCTAATTGATTTTGGAAATAGTTCCGGTGATTAATTCTCAAAAAATCGTTTTCTCATAATGGGAGCTAACTTCACGCAGCCTCCCACTTTTTAAAGAATAAAATTTTTTTTAGAGTTCTAGATTTTCCTTTACTTTTCAAAAATAGTTCTGCACATAGTTTTTTTATTTGCATTTTTTTTAAATTACAAGTTCCACGAGTTCTAATGGGAGTTCTGTATGACCCCCCACGATTTCTATAAATTTTTAATTTTAGAATCTACAGGACTTTGAAATTACACAAAAAATAAATAATAAATTTTGATAAATAGAGGGCAAAGAGAACTCCCATCAGAATTCGTAGAACTCGCAATTTAAAAATTTTTTAAATTACAGAAAAAATTGTTTTCTACTTTTGAACTACATATTTTTCAAATGTTTAGTAAATTCTAAAACTCTGTTAAAGCTATTCAAAACTCTAAAAAAAATTTATTTTTTAAAAAAGTAGGGGTTGCGTGTAGTTATTCCCATTATGAAAAATTGATTATTTTGAGAATTAATTGCCAGAAATAATTCTAAAACTTATTATGAATTTTAGAACTATTCTACACAAAATCAGAAGTATAAAAAAATTTAACTAGATTATAGTTTATTTTCATAAATTTTTTAAATATGCAAATATACATAAATAAACATAAAGATGTGACAATACATTGTGACATAAAAAGCTGTTTAAATAATCGAAATAGAAGTATATATGAGCGCGTACGGAAAAACAGTGCTTACGACCAAAAAAAAAATGTTTCGACAAAATCAATTTTTAAGGTCGTAAATACTTTTTCCCAGACGAAATTAGATATAAGCCATAATGTAAGTATATATCTATAATTTTTTGTTTAACAAAAATCAGAAACTCGTATAATAAATATTTTACAGTAACTACTTTTTAAAAAAAAAAATTTCAAATTTTATTTTTGAAATCTACATAAACAACATCAGATATTAAAATTTTGACTCAACAGTTGTAATTATATTTATATAAAACTTTTTCCTATGGAAATGATACTAACTCTCTAAATTCCAATTAATTAATTAATTAAATTATTTCCACAGATTGATTCAAATAAAAAGAAGATTGAAACGTTTACACATACAAATTAATATTTTCAACTTAAAGTGTTTAAAGCAACAAAACAATTTAAAATGGATGTATTACATTTAAGTAATCCTATTGCAAGCGTACAACTTATACCAATTTTCAACTATTTGAACTTACTTAGTGATTTCTTATTCGCTGAAAATTACTTGCATGAAATCCAACAATACCAACAAATCGAAATTGTTAATTCACTTTATGAATATTTGGAAGACTACCATGATAATAAAACTATGCAAATGAAATTAATTCGAAATTTATTACGAAACAGTGATCTATACGGAGAAGCTGATGATGAAGAAGTTGACAAAATTTTCATTAATTCAATGTTTCATTACATCGTTAGTTCTCTTGTATTTGAAAAATATGGAAATATTTATGGATTTTTGGCCGAAACAATTCGTAATGTAGAAAGTATAAATTATGAATTTGTTTTAAAGATTATAAAGAAGAATTTAGAGAATGCAAAATTTCAAAATGAAAATGGAATTATTTCAAGTCTTAATCAATTATCAGTCAATGCAATATATTCAGATATAATTTTGCCCATTTTTCCTAAATCAAAAACTAATCTCAGTATATTGTCTCTTGATTATATATTTGCACAAGCTGGTTCAACCTATCTTCGATTTGGAAGAACAAATGATTTCTATTATTTTGATTTTGAAAATAATAATTTTAGATACTTTGAAGAAAACTTGTTTGATGAATATTTAATAATTGGACACATAATAAGGGACTTATTTTATCATAAACAAATAGATCCTATTATTCTAAGAGTTTTCGCTCTACCGGCTCTTTTATATTATACTACTACTGAAGATAAAGTAAAAAATGAAACTATAAGAAATATAATTTTCAGTCCACATCATTGGAAGACAGCATATAATAATTTTTTAGAATATGTAGTTGAAGCTTTCGACCAAATAAAAGATCAATTAAGGAATGACTATACTTATAAAATTCATGTAGCATTTTCACATTTTCAAAGTCGTGCTTCGATAGCTAAATACTTTATTGATTCAGATTGCAGATATTTGAGTGAGACACAAAGAGAAAGAAGAATTTATGCATATGTTCAACATGGTGAACAAATAGAATGTAAAAGTGGATATTTTCTATCTACCATTAATAATTCATATAATAACCAAATTTATCAATTAGGTGAATTATATGAAAATTATGATTTAAGAATAATGAAGCAATATTTTAATGAATTTTTAATAGAAGATATTTATAATATTAGAATAAATTTACTAGTTGCAAATGACCAAGTATTGGATAGTCCTTTAAAAAATTCGTATTATTTATCTTACGATGTACTTGAATTTGTTTACACTAACAATGACACTTTAGACTATTATGCTTTAATAAGAAAAAACTACAGTGTTGAACTTACCAAAGAGACTGATGATCCAGGATTTTTCCTTCAACAAGTTGGACCATCTTTCGGTGGACTATTACGATCTGCAAAAAGCATTACATTAAAGTTTCCTACAGACAGCGTAAATCAATTTTGTGAAGAATTAATGAAGTATAAGAAAGAACGATTCAAGTATTATTTAAGTCTTTTTGACTACAATCTACAAACTAATGAATGGTGGAAAGAATTTGGATTGTCTTTGGTCCCATATTATCCCTGTTTATCAAATGTTACTACATATAGTCATATTGAGAAGAATGTATGCGAAAAAGAAAATTTTAAATTTTTCCAAAAATTTACTCAAGATATATCGTTACAAATAGTACAGAAAAAAACGCAAACTTTCCTATCATCATCTGGTACAACTATTCAATCAGTATTTGTAAAGGACATGATAGAAAAAACTGTAGAAGCACTGGTAATGCCTTATGAACAATCGAAACTCTCTTCCAATATTTATATATCAATGGATAAAGTTTACGAAACATTATCTTTACACATAGAAGAACCTAAATATGAGACTCCTTCCATTACTCAAGAAGGAATAAAGAGTGTGAGAACAATTATTACAGACTTAAAAACAAAATTGAATCGCAGCTTTAAAACTACTGAAGAGATTCTAAATAATATAAACATTTTGAATAACAAATTTATCATAGGTGTTAATATATTTGGCAGAAGTCGAAAACGAACATTATTTACAATTACTTATAATAATAAAACTTCTTATGGTTACCGATTTATAATTACTGATACATCTGACGATAAAACTAAAATTGCACTTATGAGAACTGGATATGAATTAAAAGATAAAATATTTATTATACCGGGAAATAATTCATCAGAAATTCAAAAAATATATACTAAATTAAATTTTGAAAATATGCAATCTGATTATTCTATATACGAAATTAATAATCAACTTCGAAAAAAATCTACAAAAGTTGTATTTTCTGGAATATCAAATGAAAATGTTTCTGAAGATAAATGTATACAACATGAATATTTAAATAAAACGGTAAATCCAAAAGAATGTTTAAGAATCTGGAATTATATTGCAAAACTTGGTCAAATTGAAGATGTAGTAGAATTGTTAATTGATAAATTATCCGTTGATGGAATACATGTAGCATCAGAGAAAGAAATACGTGATAAATTAAAAATGTACACTTTTCCAGATGACAAAATCTTTACAACATTCTTCGCCCAAAAGTGGTTAAGTGACACGAAATTTGAAGAATCTGATTGGAGTAAAAGCTGTTTGATAGAAAATCCCGATCTTTTGAATAAACTCAGATACGATGTACTATTGGAAAACAATAATGTAACAATTCCTGATGGAAAATATAGAATCAGTTCTTCTTATGCATATAGAGAAAGATGTAAAATTGAAAAAGGAACATCGATAGAAAATATAATTAATGACTTCAATAAACGAGAAGAAGGTTTTTCGGTTTCATTTGAAGATTACTATGCCATACGAAATTTTGCAATGACTGGACATGAGAGAATAACTGCAGACACAAGTGAATCGAGACTTATGAAACTTGCATTATATAAATTAGCTATAAGACAATCTGATGATTTAAGAGAGGAATATGATTTTACATTATATAGATTCGTATCAAAACCTGCTGAGATTGTTAGTCAAGAATTATGTGAAAGAAAAAGAATTATTTTACAAAAATTTACATTAACCTCAACAAGTATAGAATCTGCCATAAGATTTGCTGCAACCCCAGCCTCTGAATTTAGTAATATTCTGTATGTAATGAAATTTGTTGATTATTATTTTAGAGCAAAAATCGAAACAAAAGTCGATCAATTTGAACCCATTATTGAAAGAAATGTTATTCTTTTACCTGGCAGTGAATTTGAAATTGAAAACATTTCAATTGAGCACAGGAGAGGAATTGGTCACGTTTTCATAGTGATCATGACTTTCAATACATATAATGGTAAGCACAATTGGTATAAACATATCATGAGACAAATAACAGAAATGAAGACATAAACTTTTAATTATATACAGAATATTAGTTTTTTTCAATGTCATTACAATAAATGTAGTTATTCATTTTTTATTTATTAAAAAATATTAACTATGTCTGTATATCTCTTACAATATAATGCATTAAAATTGTTGAATATAATCTTTAGTGGTTTTTTAGTGTCCTTAATTAAAGAATATTGAAACTAGATGATTTTTGTTGAAACATTTTGACTCTTGGTTTGAGTCCTCTTCAGTAATTTATTATTTTTTTTTTAAAATACATAATTTTTACAAGTAAGGAATATAATTTATTTATATATATATATATATATATATATAGATATTCTAGTATAAAAAAATTAAATTTCACAATCTTGTAATAAATGGTAGACATATTAATTATTAATTTTTCGATTATAAAGATAAAATTATTTTATGCTAAATGTATGTCTTATATTTTAAAGAAAGAAAAATTTTTAGTTTATATATAAACGGAAAAAATTTTGGTGTACCGGTTGTACTGGTTAGTTACAAAAATTTTGTACTTTAAAAACGGACATCAGTTATCCCAGTTTGGTGCAACCTATGTCCCGTACAGTGCGTCTGATGTCTCTTACAGCGCTTCTGACGCGCCAAATCAGGATAACAGTTGCCTGCAACCCATAGTACAACATTTCTACCATAGATTGCGCACCTGATGCACCAAAAAATTTTCCGTGTACACATTTCGCAAATAATAATAAATATTAATTTCTTTTCAAACTAATATTTTTTATTGTACTTTCATGATGTAAATATGTTTTAAATAAATTTTTTTTAAAACTGTTTTCGCTCCAAGCATCATGAATATGTGATAATATTTAGTCACTTAGAATGACTATTCAATAATACAATTTATCATATGCACACAAACGCCTAGTGACTAAATTTATAGTTTTCTAAACTAAAAGAGATATTAGAAAAAATATTTTCTAATAATCGAAAAGAATATGTGTACATAAACATACTAAATATTTTGTTCGAATATTCTGCATTGGCAACAAATTACCTACATTTTGATTTTTAGAAACTAAAGCACTTTGCATCAGAAAAAACCAGGTATGAATCTATTTTATGATTTTAATATTTATAACGATTAAATTTGTGAAATATTTATAAACTAACAGAAATATCATTGATTCAAGAAAATTACTTACTTGTCCGTATTTAAGTCACTAATTTTCTTAATTCAAGAAAATTTACTGCAAACTAGTAAAAATTTTTTGGATCAATAAAATGTAGAAACCAATTGTCGAGGTTCATATTTATCAATTTTTAAGGGTACTTTAAAACACACAGTGCGACAAAAAAATATCCTACGCGGTTGACCAGAGAACTCTACCCCTATGTATTATATTATATTTTTGATTAGCAGTTCCAAAAATTTTTGCGTATCCTATTTCCAAATCAATCCTTTTTACTCTAAAATTATATGATAGTCTTTTTGAATTATTTTTTGTCAAATGAATCCGTTTCAAATCCAAATGGATTGATTCGGAGTGAAATTATAGGATTTTAAAGGAACAAAATTCAGCTTCGGAATGAAACCGATTGATTCGGAAAAGAAAACTTTGTCAAGTTACATTAAAATTTTGATTTTATTGAAAACTGATTAACTTTAAAAAAAAAATTTGGATTATTTTGGAACAGTACTTATTTATACTAATTGAGTATCAGTAACATAGTAACATAGTCAAAATCGGACCACTTTTTGACATATGTTTGTGACATTTGAAAAAAAATTAATTTGACCAATTGTAATATATTGTTGGAAACATCTACTAAAAAGGAACATTTTTGGTAAACATTGTAAATTGATTGACCTAAAAATAAAAAAGTTATAAACATTTTTAAAGAAAATTTTTTAGTCATGGTTGGGACCACAATCGAAATACCTTTTTGTAAAAAAAGTATGTAATATTTAAAGATTTGTGGGTGTAAAAAGAATTGGATGTAATTATTATTATAAAAATATACATATCTAACCTTACCCTTTAACCGGAATTTTATATATTTTTGAGGATAAGATATGCTATGGAAACACAAATGATTAAAAACTTTTTAAACACTCCACGTTTAAATAAAGAAACAAAATATAAGTCTATAAAGATTTAAGCGTTCGTGATTTTGAGAATTTCTTACACTCCCTCCAGACAGCACAAAAACTTGCAACAACCTTGCAGCATTATAAAAATGCCAGGTTCCCAAGCTTGCGCGGCAAGTTTCCAGCAAGACTGCCTCAAGTAACAAAATTTCCCTCCTTAGCAAGCTCGCAATGAAAGGTTGCTGCAAGCTTTCAAAAAAATGTTGCCGCAATCTTGCAATGAAAGATTGTTGCAACCTTGCAGTGAAAACTTAATAAAAAAAAAATTTTAATTTTTTCCTTTTGTGATTTCAAGCACAAGTCTTTTGTAAGATTACAGCAAGTATATTGTAAGCTTGTGTTAACCACATATAAACTTTTTATTGTAAGCTTACATTAAGCTTTCACTGAAAGCTTGCAACAATCTTTCATTGCAACATTGCGGCAACATTTTTTTGAAAGATTACAGCAACCTTTCATTGCAAGCTTGCTAACGAGGGACATTTTGTTACTTGAGTCAGTCTTGCTGAAAGCTTGCCGCGCAAGCTTGGGAACCTGGCATTTTTATAATGCTGCAAGGTTGTTGCAAGTTTCTGTGCTGTCTGGGTAGGGACAAAAATTTCCCTAAAATGGCAAAAAAAATTTAACACTCAAAAATGTTTCCGTTCACGAATTAAGGTTATGTGATTGTTGTGATTTCAAATCTAAATTTTCTCCGCATGTAGCAAATTATATTAATATTTTGTCAAAAAATGTATTTTTAAAAAATTGCATATTTGAAAAAATGACTGAACTCGTATTATATAATATATATAATATATATATATAATATATATAATATAATATATATAATATATAATTTGATAATTTATAATTCGAGAGATTTATTTGTTTTTAATTATTTATAATTTTCCCATTTTAATTTATATTTCAGTTAAAAAAATGTTTTTATTTGTAAATTTTAAATACTGTAGTTATCTCAAAATGCATATAACGTTTTTTCAAAGTAACCATAAATTTTCTAATATTATCTTTTTCGAAGTAATAATAAATATTTTTTTTCAAATTGTTATTTTTATTATTCTCTCATGAAGTAAACATTTTAGAAAAAATATTTTTATTTCAACTGTCAAGTTTTATGCACCTTGCATCATAAATATGATACATCTATTTTATCTATTTGTACTAACTTTTTAACTATTTTTTTTTAATAACAATGTATTATAAGTTATCAGAAATTCTTTTTTTGAAATAATCAGAAAGTACACGTGTACATTTTGAAAGTCAAGTATAAAGTAACTATAACATTTAGAATAAGACATTGCTTTACTAAATATTGTATATGGATGTTTTGTCTTGACAACGAATTACCTATACATACAGATTCTTGTAAGCTAAATAGCATTTTACATCAGCAAATACCAGATATGAATCTATTACTGATTGTAATATTTATAACGATTGAAATATTTATAGAGTTGAAGGCACTAATTAGAGAGTATATCAATTGTTGAAGTTAATATTTATCAATTTTTAAGGGTACTTTAAAAATGTTTGATCACAAGTCAGGATTTTTTTTAACCTTAATAATCTTGAATATTTTATGTAGCATAGGATTATTTTAAAAATTGATAGATTTAAATAAATAACGTACCGTCAAAGCGGGTAACTCCGGACACATTTTTGAAAATATTTTGTATTTTCCTTGTACCTAATAGTTTTCATAAGAAGTTGGCAATTATTTTATTTTATTGAACATCCAAGAAATATAATCTGACAGATTAAGAATAAAAATGCTCAAAGAAATTCAAGAAAAAAATTAATTTGGTACACGGAGATAATTCTGTAGTGATTATTATACGAAACATAACCTAGATTAATCATATGGAAGAGTCGTAGCGACTTTCACTTGAATTCAAGCAAAAGTCGCTACGACTCTTCCATATGATTAATCTAGGTTATGTTTCGTATAATAATTATCACAGAATTCTTTCCGTGTGGGAATAAGTTTTTAGAGGTTATTGCACTTTGTAAGAAAAACTTATTTTTAAACGAATATATGTAAAGTAAGTGCTATTTCTTTTTTAAAATTTGATCTACTATTCATTGACATGAATTTCACACTGATTTTAATAATCTAGTTTCATAAAATATTTCGTAAATGTGTTTTATTTAAGGAAATGTAATTTTGTAGGGTAACTACGGACATAGGACGAATATGTAACGTAGTTGGGAAAAAATCGTAATTAGTGTTATTATTCTGACAGCACAATTCAAAAAGCCCTTTCGAAGGTTAGGAGAAATTAATTGAGCATTCGCAAAGTTTGATAAAAATCTTGTTGAGCACGTGGCGAACACTGAACAAAGGCAACTTGCATCTGACGAACACTTTTGTAGGTTAGAATACCTTATTATACATATACTAAAACACAATTAATTTTATTCACAATATTAATTAACCATTAATCATTTGATTTTAAAATTTTAATTTTGCGGTACTTTTGCTCTTATTTTTACTCATTTTTATCAATAATTTACATTAAAAAATAAAAATACAATATTACTCACATTTAAATCTTCCGCCAATTTTCCGGCTGCAGGCAGCCGGAAAAACGATGTGTGAACGATCGGCTGCCTGCCTGCGTAGGCAGGCAGCCACTCGTGTGCATGTACCTTGAAAAATACAATGTACCGAAAAGTACATTGAGCGATGACTTGAAAATTCAAATGTACCATTAATTGATTTGTAAAAAAATTATAAAAAATAGTTAGAGAGCTTTAGAATGGTTTATTATGAAAACAAAAATACTTTAATGATATAATTATCCTAAATATTTTTAAATTACGCAAAAAATTATAAAGTGTCCGAAGTTACCCGCCCTTGGAGGCTAAGGGCGCACTCACAGCCAGTGAGAGCCAATCACAGAGTCAGTGGGGGGCTGCCTGTGCACGCAGACGTAGGAGTGCGAGCGCCTTAATTCCGGACACTTGCTTTTTTACTTCAAAGAAGAAAATAGAGATAAATAAAAATATTTTAATTACACATTGTACATTTCAAAAATCAAGTCCCCAGATATTTTTTCATAAAAGATATTAACGAAAAACATCAAAAACCCGTCCAATGTTACCCGCTTTGACAGTACTGTATTATTTTTTAAGTTGAAAGATAACAGTGTAAAATTCGAATACAGTCGAAAGTGAATAAAATCTGAGAAGAAAAAAAATTTAGACCTATATGTTTTCAATACTTTTTTTCCTGCTCTTTCGAATGACGCAAAAATATTTTCAAAAATTTCAACATTTACCCCTTTTTTGAGGCTGAACAATATTTTTGACTTTTTTTTAAAAAGGGCCATTTTTTTATCATTTAAAGTAAAGCTTAAAATATACTTTTGATGAGTAAGTTAAACAAAATATCGCTTCTTTTGTTTTCGAGAAATTAATTAATGTTAATAAAATATAAAATATTTCACAAACAAATAAAGGTACCGTTATTTTAAATTGAAAGCTTAAGTAATTCCGCATCCAACGAGCCCTATATGACGTATTTTGGATTGGTGGATTTTTAATAAACAATTACAATATTAACTTATTGATTATTAAAAATCCACCAACTTTGCTAAAAGTTTTAGAATAAACCTGATAATCCTTTTTGTTTAATAGAATATCGTTAAAGTAAAGCATTTAACCGTCCGAAAGAGAAACCAAGCATTATTTTTACAAAATTTGCATTTTGTTTATAATATTACTTTCATTAAAATAAATTTATCATTCTGCATTTATGACTTTAAGGGGTATTTTTTTCAATAAAAATCTTGACGGATCAGAAATTATCAAGAAAATTGTGATTGGTCAAATATAAAATTTCCTCACAATTATTTCTAACAAATTGATTTTCGACCATTTTAATTTTTTAGAATTCGAGAAAATCAATATTCTGCAAAATTAAGATTCTTTTAAATTACAATTCTGCAATATTAATATTCTACGAGACAACTTTTCGATCAAATTGAATTTCTGACTAATTAATTTTCGTCGAAATAAAAATTTTTCAAATTGATTATTCGACCATCTACATTTTCTAAAACATTAATATTCGAAAAATAAATATTCTACATAATAAGATTATATCAATTCAAAACTCTAAAAAAAAATTTTTAGAGCTTATTCATGCGTCCCATTCAAGATAAGGCGCTGCTATATGGAATACCATAACGTGTTATTCAATATTCTTTACTGAGTACAAATCGACAAAACAATGTGTATTAGAATAATTTTTCAATTTCTTATCCACAAATAAAATAATTAAAATTAAGGATACCTGTTAGATCTTCAGATTTTGCAATAAATATCCGATTTGAGAAAAACAATTTTTATAAAATTAATATCACAAATTGTCATTTTCTTTTTTAAATTTTTCACAAATTTTAAACTAAATTATAATTTCAAAAAAATCTATGACAAAGACATGTATTAATTTCTTCTCTCGACAATTGGTGCTTATACACTATAAACTAAGGAAAGTCAATTAAATTTTCATTTAGTCAAGTATCTCATAATATTCACAGATTGTTAAAATTACTTTTAAAAAATCGAGTGGCTACTTCCAAGGGATCAAGGGAAAAAACTGATGGATAATGGATACCTTAACATTCAGCAATCCTCTTGCAACTGTACAGCTTATACCAATCGTCAATTACATAAACATACTTAGTAATTTTTTATATATTAAAAAGTATTTAAAATTAGAGGAACAACGAAATAAAATTGTAATTGTTAATGAACTTTATAAATATTTTGATGATCATCGTGATGACCAATCTATAATAGAAAACTTAATTCGAAATTTGTTACAAGGCAGCGATCTGTACGGTGAACGAGATAAGGAAAATTTTGATCTAGTTTTTGTTAACACCATGTTTGACTATATCATTAGTTCTATCGTATTTGAAAAATATGGAAATATTTATGGCTTTTTGGCAGACACTGTTCGTAAGGCAGAACAGTTACAATATTATTACGTTTTAGAAACAATAAAGGAAACACTAAAGAATGCAACATTTGAAAATGAATATGGTCCTAGTTCAAAGCTTTCTCAACTGTCTTGCAGAAGGATATTCAACGACCTGATATTGCCACTATTTCCTAAGCCCGTTACAAAAAATTTAAATTTATTGTCTTTTGATTATATTTTTACACAAGCTGGTGCGACATATCTTCGACCTGGGCTTTTAAATAACACCTACTATCCTAATTACAAAAATTTGATCTATAACAACATTGATAATGAAATCTTTAACGAATACATGGTAACAGGGTATATAATAGAAAATTTACTTTACCAAAATAAAATTGATCCTTTAGCATGGAAAATTTTCGCTCTTCCAACTCTTTTTTATTATATTTCTAATGAAGATAAAGTAAAACATGAAAACATAACAAATATAATTTTTAATCCACTGCATTGGGAAGGAGCTTATCATAATTTTCGAGAATACTTATTCAATACTTCGGTCAAAATTGAAAATCAAATAACGAATGACTCTACATATAAAATGCACCAAGAACTTACAGAATTTGGAAGTCGTGCTTCGATGGCTAGATATTTTATACGAACAACTTGTCACAATATGGATGAGTTAACGAAAGAAGTATTTTTTTCTTATTATATCAACAGTACAATACCACTTCAGTGCGGTTATGGAGATCGTCTGTTGCCCATAGATGATTACTTCCAGCACCAACTTTTTAATTTTCATAAAGTATATGAAGAATATGAGTTAGGCATAACGCAGCAATCTTTTAACGAATCGATATTAGGGAATCTTCGTGATGTTGAAATAAAATTGGTAATTACTAATGATAAAGTGGTAGATGGTGATTTTAATACTTCGCAGCATTTACCTTATGACTTACTTCAATTCTCTTACCCTAACAAAGTGGTTCCATGGTACTACGCTTTAATACGAGAAAACAATACTGCTAAACTCATTAGAGAAGTTGATGATCCAATACGCTTTCGACAAATAATTGGTCCATCATTAGATAACTTTAAAGATTCTGCAAACCGTACTATTCTAAAATTTGCGAATCAAAGCACAAACAAACTTCTTGAAGAATTAATGAAGTATAAAAAGGATCGCTTTATATCATACTTAAATTATTCTAACAATACTCCTGAAAAAAGTAAATGGTGGAAAGAATTTGGATTGTCCTTCGTACCATTTTACCCTTGTGTATCAAACAGTAGCAACTATAATGATGTCGAAAATCATGTGTGTGAGCAAGATGATGCAAAATTTCTTCAAAAATTCCCAGAACATATATTATTACATTTAATACATGAAAGTACACAAAATCTTCTATCATCATTGGGTACCACTATCAAACAAGTATTTATCAAGAAAATTGTAAATACAACTGTAACAAATTATTTTCCAGAGAATACTAGCGAAACAATATTTTCATCAAAATTCGATACACCAATGAATGTAGTTTACAATACATTATCATTACACATAGAAGAACCTAAATTTGAGACCTTGTGCATTACTCAAAAGGAAATACAATTTGTGGAGACAATAATAAATTACTTAGAAAAGAAGATTAATCAATCATTTACATTTGTCAACAATATGCTAAAAAAATTTCAACTTCCAAAAAGTATGTTTACTATAAAAGTTGGTAATTTATATGATCAATCAAATCAACCTTATTTGCTCGTAAACAGTTGGGATAATGTTACTGGTTATGGTTACAAATTTGTACATAGTATTAACTATACAAACAATAAAAGTATAATAGCGCAATTGAGAACTTATTATGCAATAAAAGAAAAAATATTTATTACACCTGTACAGAATTCATCAAATAATCTAAAAACATATATTTACACAATGAATGAAAGTCTTGTAAATACAAATCAAATTATAGATGTAATATTTTCTTCTCCTCTTCAAAATGTATCAAAACAACGAAAAATATTTGTTAAATCCAAAAATGATAAACTTATAGAAATAAATAAAAGAAAAATTTTCATATATGAAATTAATAATCATCTTACAATTGAATTTACTAACATATCCTTTTACGGTATTTCGAGTCATGATCATAATGATGATTATTGTAATATAGATGAATATGTACAAGAAAAGAAAAATACGATGTTCTGTTCAAGACATCGTCGTTTTATTGAAAAGACTAACTATTTTTCGAAAATAATAAGGGATTTATTAAAAAATAAAAATGATACCTCAGTTGAAAAACGAATGCGAAATATATTAAGAAAATATTACTTTCCAGATAACTTAACAGAAACAATATTCTTTAAACATTGGTTAGAAGACGACAGGTTCCAAAATCCTTTTTGGGCTAGATACGTTCTAATTGACCAGTCTGGTTTATTAAATGAATTATTGTACGACCCAAGTTTGGATAACAGATTTATATCAATTGAAGAAGGTAAAAAAAGAATAAATTCAAATTACACGTATAGAGAACGATGTAAAATTGAAGAAGGAACGTCAGTGGAAAATATAATAAATAATTTTAATAATCAGAAGGCAGCTTATTTAGTTAAACTTGAAGATTATTATGCCATACGTAATTTTGCCACAACTGGTCATGAGAGAATAACTGGCGATACAAATGAAGCAAAACTAATGAAACTCGCTCTATATAAATTGGCAATAAGACAATCTGACGACAGTAACGACGAATTTGAGTCAAAATTATATTGTTTTGAATCTGTAACTAACGAATTTTTTGACAGACATATAGCAGTGGGAAATATAATTGCTTTATCAAAATTTACTTTAACATCGACGAATAATATAACTGCCATGACATTTTCTGCATTTCCAGCAACTGGATTCCAAAACATTTTATATGAAATAATATTTAATGCTCCTTACGCAAGAGCGAAAATCAAAGTTGATGTCAATCAATCGGTTAGGGAAAAGAAAGTAATTCTTTTACCTGGTTTTGAATATCGTATTCAGCATATAGTTGTAATTCCCAATACAATAATATCTAACTATTTTAAAGTGGTGTTAAATTGCACATACAAAAGTACTCAAAAAGATGAATGGTATAAAAGTATCATGCAACAAATAAACAAAATCAATTCTTAAAATTGTATTTGTAATCAATATTGTTTAAACATTTAATTATGTCTTGTATGAAGAGTAATAACCTAGCAAAACTCTATATTAGATTTGATACAAATTGTTTGAAAATGTGTTCTGTAACTGTTTATGCCTATAAAAAAGTAGTTTAAAGAATTAAGAATGTAATTTATAGATAAGGATTTGTATTTTTTTGAATTTAACTACATATTTAGGTAAAAGAAACTAAAAAATGATTAATTCCATACAAAATAGTTAAAGTACCTATTAGACCAGATGCTTAGTAAAAAAGTCAAATACAGATAAATTGTGACTATTGTGTTCTAGAAATGTTATATAACATTGTTACCAAAAATGTGTAACGAATATTAGTATATATACCTATGTTTGAATTATTATATTCCCGCAAAGATGAGCTTTGAATATTTTCTCCCCAAGTTGTAGTCCAGTCAAGTTAGCATTTTTAATTGTTTTAACTCAGGACATCAATTTTATTTCCTTAAACCCTTTATTTTGGGTTAAAAATAAAGTACCTAAATTTGGTATTTCGAACTCCTACCGAAACCTAAATTTAAAAAAAAAATTAGGTGCAGATCAAATTTCTCAGAAGGTTACACACTTTCTTTTTTATGATAACTATTTTTATGCTAAAATGTCTTGGAAAGTGTCAATTTGCAAAAAACTTATTTCTGCACCCATTTCTTAAAAAAATTTTAGGTTCCGGTAGGAGTTCAAAGTTCCAAATTTAGGTACTTTATTTTTACTCCAAAATGAGCCTTGTTTTTTTTTTTTTTTTTGACTAATTTGACTAGATTATTATGATTGATACCGTTTACTGATAAGTTATTGAATGATTTACTTGATAATTTTTAAATATATTAATAATTTAATTTTATGCCATTGAATTTAAATCGAGAAAAATAAGTATTAAAAGTAAATTTTTGATTGAATAAAAAGATATAATTTAATGTGTACTGAAAGTAAAATTATGAAAAAGAATTTTTTGCATTATATCCAAATAGAAAGTCAACATTAACATTATTCAAATACACATTACTTTTTTTTATAAATAGTTAATCTTATATTTTGTTGAAAAATTACTGTTTTGTAATTTGGAAGTTTAAATGAATAAATTGTGTTCAAAATGTTTACTCATATTTCATTGAGTAATATTTATTTCAACACCATTCTTATTTGTCTCATATATTTATCTTTCATTATTTTTCTTAAAATAGTCTATCTTAAATTAAATAATAATTTGAGAGATAAATTCACTACCTAAAAATAATTTTTTTTGCGAAGAGCAAATATGCTTTTATTAATTCTGTGAGGGAAAATTTCTGTAATATTTTTTATTACATAGTAGAAAAAATTGACTATTATTAATAGTAAAAAATATATCTTCAACTTTTATATATCGCTTTGTTACTGATACAAACGGTTATATCTATTCGATGCAAGTTCACATATTGAACTAAAACCAAGATTTACTATCACTTGCTTATGGAGCTTGCTAATAACAGTTAATAAAATTGCTAAACTTATGTATACTATAGACATTCATACATCTAATTATAGATTAGTAATGTAGGATCATATTCTGCAGATAGTACACTAATTTTAAAAGCAAAAAAAAAAATTGTAAAAAATTTTTTTTAGACGAGTTTCTCTCCTTAATATAAAAGAAATTTTTTTAAAAAACTTAAAATTAAATTTGATAATTTCTAATTCGAGAAATCTGTTTATTTTTAATTATTTAAAATTTTCCCAATTTAATTTATAATTATTTTATTTAGAAAAATGTTTTTATATGTAAATTGTAAAGAAAATAATTATCACAAAATGCAAATCACGTTTTTAGCAAATAACTATAAATTTTTTAATATTATCTTTTTCGGAGTAATAACAAATATTTTTTGAAAATGGTTATTTTTTATTAATTTCTCATGAACTAAACATTTTAGGAAAACCCTTGCATCATAAATATTTTAATCTATTTTATTTTATCTATATTCAATTGTAATAACTGTTTAACTAATGTTCACTTTAATAACAATGTATTATAAGTTATCAGAAATTCTTTTTTTGAAATAATCAGAAAGTACACGTGTACATTTTCAAAGTCAAGTATAAAGTAACTATAACATTTAGAATAAGACATTGCTTTACTAAATATTGTATATGGATGTTTTGTCTTGACAACGAATTACCTATACATACAGATTCTTGTAAGCTAAATAGCATTTTACATCAGCAAATACCAGGTATGAATCTATTACTGATTGTAATATTTATAACGATTGAAATATTTATAAAGTTGAAGGCACTAATTATAGAGTATATCAATTGTTGAAGTTAATATTTATCAATTTTTATGGGTACTTTAAAAATGTTTGATCACAAGTCAGGATTTTTTTTAACCTTAATAATCTTGAATATTTTATGTAGCATAGGATTATTTTAAAAATTGATAGATTTAAATAAATAACGTACCGTCAAAGCGGGTAACTCCGGACACATTTTTGAAAATATTTTGTATTTTCCTTGTACCTAATAGTTTTCATAAGAAGTTGGCAATTATTTTATTTTATTGAACATCCAAGAAATATAATGTAACAGATATATTAAGAATAAAAATGCTCAAAGAAATTCAAGAAAAAAATTAATTTGGTACACGGAGAGAACTCTGTAGTGATTATTATACGAAACATAACCTAGATTAATCATATAAAAGAGTTGCAGCTACTTTTTTTTGAATTCAAGTGAAAGTCGCTACGACTCTTCCATATGATTAATCTAGGTTATGTTTCGTATAATAATTACCACAGAACTCTCTCCGTGTAGAAATAAATTTTTGGAGGTTATTGCACTTTGTAAAAAAAACTTATTTTTAATCGAATATATGTAAAGTAAGTGCTATTTCTTTTTTAAAATTTGATCTACTATTCATTGACATAAAATTCACACTGATTTCAATAATCTAGATTCATAAAATATTTCGTAATATGTGTTTTATTTAAGGAATTGTAATTTTGTAGGGTAAATTCGGACATAGGATTAATATGTAACGTAATTGGAATAACACTATAGTGTTATTATTCTGACAGCACAATTCAAAAAGCCCTTTCGGAGGTTAGGAGAAATTTATTGAGCATTCTCAAAAGGGTGTTTTCTACCCATAAAACTCAAAATAGGGCGATTTAAAAATTACGTGTCAAATATTTTTCGATGGTTTAGTAGTATTGTACGGTCGTAAATTCTTTGGCAACGAGTTACATTTTAATATAACCCTATAAAAACGGCACTAAACGTGAAAATAATAGTAATAATAATAATAATAATAATAATAATAATAATAATAATAATAATAATAATTTGAACCATTCCGATACTATTCATTTCAAATGTTGCGACTGTATATTATTTGAAGTTAGTAAGAAAAAATTATGAACGTAAACAAGTGGCGATTATACTGTTTCAAAATCTTTTGGACTGAATCCTAAACAGTTTTAGAATACTTGTTCAAAAATTTCATCCTGGATTCGCATTGGTAGACTTTTAGGTCTCGATACAAAATTCTAGTACTCCATATTTAAATTTTAATATAAAATTCTAAAAATTAATTATTAGCCTTAAAATATCTACAGTTCACTGCTATTTCTAAAAATTCGTTTTTTCTCCGTGAATAATGTCGATATAAAATTTAAACAGGTCAATATACGAATTGCAAATGACTGAATTATCTTTGGCATTTTATAACCCTCATCTTAAATATACGCTTGGGTTACCGACATAAGGGTATTTTTAAAATGCTCTAATTTGTAATTAGTAAAAATTCGTGAAGTAGGGAAGACTGGGGCTAAATGTTAAATTTTCGAGAAATATTATTTTTTGCACTAAATCCTTTAAGGCCTAGACCTAGGCTTGGTATAAATTTTTTTGTAGCTCGGTTCATTGCATTTTGTACAGTGTCATTTATATTGATACAAATTGTGTTTTTTGTTTACTTTTGATGTATGACTGTACAGATATTGACAATTTCATCTATGAATTGAAAACTAATTTATTGACTTGTATTATACAATATAATTTTTAAGATTCAAAATATTGTTGTAGTCACACTAAAAACATAATAAATTACAGAAGGTAGTAATACTATTAGATTTAAAACAAAATTTAAATCTAGTAAATATTTTGATTTTTGATAATTTTGAAATTATTATTAAATTTTATTTAAATTAAAGAAAGTTTTTTCGAATCAAAAACCCTATTTTATATTGTAATGAAAATTTTATTTTGAATGAAACGAAATAAGCTTAACAGGTTTCTTTAAATCAACAAAGACTTTTTTTAGTGTCAAATCCGCCATTATCGATCTAATATTTTTCGACATCGATATAATGTAAATTGCAGTGTTTCTGCACTGAATGCTGCAAAATACATTACTAAAATATGTGCATTCAGGATCAGTGTACCGAGATAGTTCTGTACAAAAAATCTGTACCAAGCCCAGGAACTCCAGCTCTGTACAAAAGTGTTTGTACATTCCGGACTCTATACGTAAGATATTATATAGATCTATCTTGTATGGTAGTTGGTCCTCAACAATTTTTTATAATGAAGTTCGTGATGTTTTCACGAAAAATATATGTTATGTCCTTTTTTCTAAAGTTTAATTTTGTTAACATTCAGCCTCATGCTAGGGTTTTGGATGTGTGATTCTTTATACTAATTATTTTACAAAATAGCTCGTTCTCATCATAAAACTTTTTGCCATGTAGTAACTCACTTATTAGAATAACTGTTACTTTATTATTTTAGAATATTATTGTATTCTTTTATGTATTTAACAATTCGTGTACCTACTATGTAAATAGAAGAAAGAAGTTATTCTTCTATCAATTAAATTTTTGATATTATTCAAAAATCTTATTTCACTTTTACAGATTGTCAAAGACAATTGTTGAAAAGAGATTCAACAATCAACATATTTCTGACACTTTAAAGTCATTTATGAAAAAAATAAAAAGAATCACTCAATATGGATACAACATTTTCAAGCAATCCTCTAGCAGCTGTACAGCTTATACCAATCTTCAATTACTTAACCATACTTAGCGATTTTTTATTCATAGAAAATTACTTGATCGAAGAGGACCGATATAAACAAGTTCCAACTGTTAATGGACTCTATAAATATTTGGAAGACCATAATGGTAACGAAACTATGATAGTAAAACTAATTCGAAATTTGTTACAAGGGAGCGATTTGTACGGAGAACAAGATAATGAAAAATTTGATGTGCTTTTCATTAATACTATGTTTGACTATATCATTAGTTCTCTTGTATTTGACAAATATGGAAATATTTACGGCTTCTTAGCAGACACAGTTCGCAAGACAAAAAATTTACAGTATTATTACTATTTACAAAAAGTAAAGGAAAATCTAAAGAATGCAACATTTGAAAATATAAATGGAACTAAATCAAGTCTTACTGAATTAGCAGTCAATAGAATATATACAGATATAATTTTACCAATTTTTCCTGAACCAAAGACTAATATCAGTATATTGTCTCTAGATTATATTTTTGCACAAGCTGGTTCCACTTATCTTCGACTTGGAAGAATAAATAAAACCTGTTATTATAATTTTACAACTTTTTATATTAAAAATTTTAATTTTGTAAACACTGATAAAAATTTATTTGAGGAATATCTAGCAGTGGGATGTATAATAAAAAGTCTACTATATCACAAACAATTAGATACTTTATCATGGAAATATTTTGCTTTTTCAGCACTTTTTTATTATATTTCTAATAATGATAAAGTAGAACATGAAAAAATAACAAATGTAACTTTTAATCCATTGCATTGGGAAAGAGCTTATCATAATTTATTTGAATATGTTAACAATGCTTTTGTCAAAATTGGTAATAAATTAACGAATGACTATATTTATAAACTTCACGTAGTGTTTTCGCATTTTAAAAGTCGTGCTGAAGTAGCAAAATATTTTATAAACGAATATTGCAAACAAATGACAGAGTCAGCGAAAGAAGGATTTTTTCATTATTACCTCGCAAGTACAGAACCAATCAAATGCGGTCATGAATATCCTCCGCCAGTTATAAACGATGGGTTCATAAATATAATTCATGATTTTGGTGAAGTATATGAAAAATATGATTTAGGAATAACACAACAGGTATTTAACGAATCGTTAACGGGAGATCTTAATAATGTTATAATAAATTTACTAATTATTAATGATAAAGTGGTAGATAGTAATTTTAAAACTTCACAGCATTTACCTTTTGACTTACTTGAATTCATTTACCCTAACAATAGAATTCCATATTACTACGCTTTAAAACGAGAAAATTATACTGCTACACTTATCCCACAATATTATAATAAAAACTACTTTCGACAATTGATTGGCCCAAATATTGATAGATTTATACTTTCTGCAAACCGTACAATTGTAAAGTTTCCCAATGAAAACGTAAATGAATTACGTGTAAGATTAATGAAGTATAAAAAGGATCGTTTTATGTCATATTTAAACTATTCAGACAATAGTCCAAAACAAAGTCAATGGTGGAAAGAATTTGGATTATCTTTGGTGCCATTTTATCCTTGTTTTTCAAATATCACAGGCTATCATGATGTCAATGAACAAGTTTGTGAGAAAAAAAACATAAAATTTCTCAACAAATTTACCAATGATATATCTTCACATTTGATACAACCAAATACACAAAACCTTCTTTCTTCATTTGGTACAAATATCAAAACAATTTTTTTAAATGAAACAATACAAGCATATGTAGATTCATTTGTAAATCCATATAAAAAAATTATAACTTTGTTCAATGATACAGCACTAAATACATTTTATGATGAATTATCTTTGCACATAGAGAAGCCACAATTTGAGATCTCGTCAATTACTAAAGAAGAAATAAATTATATATTAACAATAATTGATTATTTTGAAAAGAATATTAATCAATCATTTAAATTTGTCAACAATATGTTGACTACAATCCAACTTTTAAAAGATAAATATATTATAAATGTTGGTGATATTAATAATAAATCAAATATATCTTTGTTTGTAAATAGTTGGAATGGTGTTACTGGTTATGGTTACAAGTTTATACATATTAAGACATCAGAGAAGGAAACTGTAACAGCACAATTAAGAACTGATTACGAATTAAAAGATAAAATATTTATTTCACCTAATCAAAATTCATCGAAAGATCAAAAAGTATACACTAAATGGAAAAATGAAAGTCTTGAACTTAAATACGATGAAATATTTATTACAAAATTTTACAAGGAAGTATATCTTATTAAATCTAAAAATGGAAGTTATGTTCCTTTAAATAGAACACAAGGTCCAATATACGAAATTAATAATCAGCTTCGAAGAGAATCTATTAACATTTCCTTTTACGGTATTTCGAGTCAGGATCATAATGATGATTATTGTAATAGTGATGAATATTTACAAGAAAAGAAAAATTCGATGTTCTGTTCAAGACATCGGCGTTATATAAAATGGACTGATAACGTTTCGACAATAATAAAGAATTTATTAAAAAATAATAATGATAACTCACTTGATAGACAAATGCGCAATATATCTAGAAAATACTACTTTCGAAATTTATCAACATTAAAACTCTTCTTAAGTTATTGGTTAGAAGACAGAAACTACGAAAAAACTGTGAGTAGCATCAAAACATTAGACAAGTCTGGTTTATTAAATGAATTATTGTATGCCACAAGTTTGGATAACAGAGATATATCAATTGAAGAAGGTGAGAATAGAATAAATTCAAATTATACCTATAGAGAACGACGTAAAATTGAAGAGGAAATGTCACTGAAAAATATAATAAATAATTTTAATAATCAGAGGGCAGCTTATTTGGTTACACTTGAAGATTATTATGCAATACGAAATTTTGCTACAACTGGTCACGAGAGAATAACTGGTGATACAAATGAAGCAAAACTAATGAAACTAGCTCTATATAAATTGGCAATAAGACAATCTGACGATAGTAACGACGAATTTGATAAACTATTATTTTATTTCCAATCAATACCTGAATATACTTTTAGGAATGAGGTTTATAAAGGAAAATCATTAACATTACAAACATTTATATTAACATCAACAAAAAATACATCTGCCTTGAGATTTTCTGCACGATCAGCATCTGGATATAAAAATATTTTATATGAAATAAATTTTAATAACTCTTATGAAAGGGCAACAATTAAAGTAGATGTTCATGATACACAAGTTATTAGGGAAAGGAAAGTAATTCTTTTACCAGGTAGTGAATTTAAAATTGAAAAGATAGCGATATGCCCTAATGAAAAAATTGGTTCCTATTACGTAGTGAAATTAATTTTTACATCCAATAATACTCAAAACTATGAAAATATCCTGAGACAAATAACACAAATCAGGTTATAAATTTGTGGATATTTTTGTTTTTTTTATAACAGTTTGTAATTATATGTTTAATTACTTCTTAATTATTAAATTATATAAAAACTGTTAAATCATATGATAGATATTAATAAATTTATATCAAATTACAAAAAAATATTTTTATTTCGAATTTTATGAACAAAACATTAATATGAAATACAATTTTTAAAAATAATTAAGTAACATTTACTTAGAATTTAGTTAATGAATTTTAAAAGAAAATTAATTATTTTTCACTATATGTTTTAGCAGCTTTTGTCATTAAATTTTTTAACCTTTAAAAGAATTTTTTAACTTACTTATTATTTATTTCTCTCAATTCAGAACAATTTCTCTTTTCTTCAGTTATGATGATTAGTCTTTCATTTTTGAAAATTATTCAAGGTAATTGTTGATGGAAAGCAATATTTTTCATCCCATCAAACATTATTTCTTGTATGTAATCTAAAATATCTGCAAACAAAAATTATGTATTTTTTATAGCTCTTATATAAGTAGTTGCCTGAGCTGGGTCCTCGGACCCAGACAACTTTTTTTCCATGTACTTCAATATATTCGCTTAAAAATCGTTATTCAGGGGTTTTCGCGATCGCTGATTACGAATCCGGTGTCTGTTTCCAAAAATTCAAAATGGACGATCCAATATGGCGGAAGAATTTTTAAAAAATCATTCGGTATCGCTTGAAAATCGTTACTTGGGGGTTTTTGGGGTCGCTGATTACAAATCTGATGTTACTTTCTCAAAATTCAAAATGTCGGATATATTTTTTTAAATTTGACGGTCTTGCTTAAAACTCGTTATTCAGAGGTTTTCAAGGTCGCTGATTACGAATCTGATATTAGTAACCCACACAGCACCGATAATTCCCTGAAGGTTCACTGAATGTTTTTAAGTTACCTTGGGAAAGTTCCATCTCCGCGTTCAGAAAAAAATGGTTTAAATCTTAAAATGTCCGCATGTGAGCAAATGTTTAAGGCAAAACTTGACTGAATATGTAAATTACATTTTCGTTGAAGGTTCAAAATGAAAGTAGACTTAATATATGAACCACTTTTACACTGGGCAAAAAATTTTTTTTTTAATAAATTTAATTACTGTTTAAATAATAGTCTACGTAATTGACATTTAAATAATGAAATTTTTAAATATTTTATTTTTAAATAGTTATCACAAAATGTAAATCACATTTTTCGAAATTAATCAAAAATGTTTTAATATTATCTTTTTCGAAGTAATAATAAAAATTATTTGTTTCAAACTGTTATTTTTTATTATTCTCTTATATGAACTAAACATTTTAGAAAAAATATTTACCCAGTAAAAAAAAAAGAATTAGGACTAATATGGCAAATTTATCATATGAACACTACTCACTTGATAAAATCGTCGGTGAATATGTCACACTTTCCTTTCATTTATTTTTTTTAAATTATATATTTCTTATTCCAAATCGGCTTTTTTAGACTTCGAAGCATTTATTTTATTCATTTATAATGCAAACTCGAATAAAGAAACGTCAATTCAAATGTTTAAGAAAAAAGAATTCACGGTAAGAAAAAAATAATTCACCGTAACGTTCCAATTCGGTTTTTTCGCCAAATCGAATTCAGCTTAAGTTACCACCAATTCTTATCGCTTACTCACAATTCTTTTTTTTACTGGGTATATATCAACTATCTAGTTTTGTGTACCTTGCATCATAAATATCTTACACAGCACCCAAAATTCCCTGAAACTTGACAAAACCTCACTCGGCGAGGTTCTATCAAGTTTCAGGGAATTTTGGGTGCTGTGTGGGATGATATATATATATATTTTTTTCTATTTAATTTTTATAATTGTTTAATGGTATATCTGGGCAAAGGATGTTTTTTTGTAGTTTGAAAATTTCTCTGAAATAAAAAATGATTTTGGGTTAAAATTTTAGAGAAATGATTTAGTTTGGTACAAGGAATCTCGCTGTTCGACTCATTTACTACAACTTAACGCAAAAATAATAAAAATAAAGCAATAAATAGTAAAATAATGTGTTCTATCATAGTTCATTCAGCAGCCACTCGCTAGAATTGGCGCTGTTTACTGGAGCACTGACACACTCAAGCAACGTGTGTGTATGCGCCGCCATGTTTCTTTTCATTTTTGTTTAAAAATGCCACTTTTTAAACTTCATTTTTTAATAATTTAACGCAAAATTATGTATTTTTCGGAGACGCTTGCTTTTCATCGAACTGTCAGTACGTCGAACAGACAAAATGTCGAATGGCAAGTTGTCGAATGGACAAAATGTCAAAAAGCCAATACGTCAAACAGGCAAAATGATTTTGTCCGTTCGATGTATTGACTGTTCGACGTCTTGGCTTTCCGACATTTTGACCGTTCGACGTCTTGGCTTTTCGAGGTTATGGCTTTTCGACATTTTGTCTGTTCGATGTATTGGCTTTTTGACGTTTTGTCAGTCCGACGTATTGGCTTTTCGACATTTTGCCTGTTTGACGTACTGACAGTTCGGTGAAAAGCAAGCGTCTCATTTTTCGGAGAACAGCGAGATTCCTTGTACCCAAATCTATTATCCCTCAAAATTTTAGACAAACATCTTTTCTCGTTTTAGAGTAAGATGTAGGTATACTACCAAAACACATTTTCCCATACTAGGTCACGTGGGAGGTTTCCACATACCCTTAACTATTCTTAATTTCAAAAACAATGTATTATAAGAGATATCAGAAAATTATTTTTGAAATAATCAAAATGTACACGTGTATAATTTAAAAATCAAGAATAAAGTAACTGTATATTATACCAGAAAAATTGTAAAAAATAATTTAGGAATCCACATAGAAACAAAATTGTAAATTCCCAAATTTTTTTATAGAGGATCCCACATGAGAATTTTCAATAGAGTTGAAACTTATGTTACTTTGACTTCAATGTTTAAAAGTAATTCTGAAAAAAAATAAATTGCGAACTCTTAGGGCACTTCATTAAATGATGAGAAGAATAAGACAAATCAATTATAATTTTGTATTGGCTATATAACAGTGTGTAATTAATTCCTGAAATTTTTCTTTCATTATTACAATTATTTTAAAGAATTATTGTTTTATCACGAGGAAGATATGTAATATAAACAATAATTGTTTGTAGATTAGAAAAAAAATTATTTGTAAATTTAAAAGACAATAGTTATCACAAAATGCAAATCACGTTTTTAGAAAATAACTATAAATTTTTTAATATATTTTTTTCTAAGTAATAATAAATATTTTTTTCCAAATGGTTTAATTTTTATTATTCTCTCATGAACTAAACATTTTGGAAAAAACCTTGCATCATGAATATTTTAATCTATTTTATCTATTCAATTGTAATAACTGTTTAACTAATTTTCATTTTAATAACAATGCTTTATAAATTATTAGAAATTCTATTTTTGAAATAATCAGAATGTACACGTGTAGATTTTGATGTTCAAGTATAAAGTAACTATAACATTTAGAATAAGACATTGCTTTACTAAATATTGTATATGGATGTTTTGTCTTGACAACGAATTACCTATACATACAGATTCTTGTAAGCTAAAAAGCATTTTACATCAGCAAATACCAGGTTTGAATCTATTACTGATTGTAATATTTATAACGATTAAAAAATTTGAAAATATTTATAAATTTCAAGAAATAATATTTTCACGTTCAATGCCGTTTTTATAGTGCGATAATTAAATTTCTTTCTTTGACAAAGAATTTCAGAGACCGTTAAACACTCTTAAGTGGAGGCACCACCTACAATTTCGAAAATAGTCAAAAATTGTGAAAGAAAAATATATTCTAATTTTTATTTTTTAAATTATTTAAAATATTAATTTTTTAATATTTTCTTCTTCTTCTTCTCTTTGTGTGACTTCTTGTCTTAGCACACTGTCAGAAAATTAAATATTTTAATTTCTAAAATGGTGAAAAATTAAAATTTTATTTTTTTGACCATCCTGTGTGATTTTAGGACCCAAATGATGCAAGAAAAAAATATAACCTCGTTTAATAATTTAAATTCAAGTGGGTGAAAATTGGGGGTGGTGCCTGCCCTTAAATCAACTTTTTTTTTGCTTGTAAAGTCATATAGAAGGCATTTTACGTGTAATGTCCTGAGTTAAAAAATTGATTTCTCGAAAAAAAGTGAAACTTGGGTAAATTGTTGTCCTACCTGATAATAAAATATTCTAAAAAAATTTTTTAACTTTTTTGAAATTTTGAGGGAGATAGAGGGGGTCAGTTTTATCAGTTTTCCCTGACACCGCCTACTATTTGAATTTTTTCTGATATGTCTATAAAATTTTGTTTAATTTATGAAAAATATTCAGTTAGTTATAATTATTTTAATGAAAGAGTTCAAAATTCTTCAAGTAACAATAAATATTATATATAATTTGAATATTTTCAAAATACTCCGTGAACATATTACCACACTGAGAAACCTTTTGGACTGCAGTGGAAGTCCAGAGTTGCCAATGACCCTACCTAAACACTAATGCGCTTGCGCTACGACAACTCTCTTATAGGTCGAAAAAAGCGCGCTTATATAAAATGCTTAATAATTAATTAATAATTAATTAAATTAAATTTTAAATTAAATTAATTTTTGTTATTTATTAATTATTTATGATATATACACTACCGTCCGAAATTGTGCTAACGCTTACACCGCGAGTCATTGAAAAACATACTCGCGTGAAAATAAAGATAACTCTGAGAGAAATTAACGAAGAGACTTTTCCCTTATAGCGTTGGAAAGCTTATTAAATTTCGAAAAAAATGATACCTATTATAATGAGATTGCTTTAATAGGTTTAAATATATCATGTTACAAAGTTGAAAAAATAATTGTAATTTTTTGCTTATTACCTACCTTGACTTTAACCTCTTGCATGGTCCAGGAAAATCGACGAAAAAAATTGTCCTCTAACATAATTATTCCTTGAAATCTAAGCTTTCCATATTGATTCCAAGAACAATAAAAAATATTGACGAGTTTGACAGTAATTGAAAAAAAAGGACGAGCGTGCACGAAAAAAAATTCGACCGTCAATCGCTCGATTTTCCCGTCTCGCTGCCTCGTTCGTTCGTGCGCCAGGGCCGAAACAGAGGATTTTGATTAGGCCCTTTCCGGGCACCATTAATTTCATTATTTTTGCCTTTTTGTGAACATAAATTATTTGTATAACGGGAAAGATATCATAATTGTGTTATAAGTTAATTAATAATAATAACAGTCATAAAGCAGAAATTGAAAAATTGATATTGACTGCAAGAGAAAAAAATATTTCACATACATAAAGATATTAATTTTTTAATCAAAATCATAAATAAAATAATTATACAATTAAAGTTTTGTAAAAATTAAAATATATTTATAATCATTAAACAATTTATTATTAAGAATCAAAAACCTCGTT